GTGCCACTGCACTCTGGTCTAGACAACAGAGCAAGACCCTATCTAAAAAAAATGAATGAATCATGGACATACACAACATGGAATAATCTAAAAATTATTGTTGCACATGAAAGAAGCCAGCACAAAAGAGTGTGATTGATTGCATGAGTATTCTATTATTGTGTTAATTGTATTATTGCACTTATATAAAATCTTGAAGCTGCAGACTAATCCATAGCAACTGAAAACATTTCAATGGTTGCCGCCTAGGGCTGTGAGTGGAGAGTGAGATGTGCTGTGAAGGGGCATGATCGAGCAATTGCTTGGGTGATAGAAATGTTCTGCATCTTGATTGTGGTGCTGGTTTCCACAATCAAGATGCAGAACAACTATAAAATAGTCAAAACTCATGGAATTGGGCACTCTAAAGCGGATGCAGTTTAGGCCGGGTGCTGTGGTTGACAGCTGTAATCATAGCACTTTGGGAGGCCAAGGAGTTCGAGACCAGCCTGACCAACATGGTGAAACCCCGTCTCTACTAAAAATACAAAAATTAGCCAGGCATGGTGGTGCGTACCTGTAATCCCAACTACTCAGGTGACTGAGGTGGGAGAAGCACTTGAACCCAGGAGGTAGAGGTTACAGTGAGCTGAGATGATGCTACTGCACTCCAGCCTGGGTGACAGAATGAGACTCTGCCTCAAAAAAAAAAGAAAAAAATAGCCAGGTGTGGTAGTGCATGCCTGTAATTCCAGCTACTTGGGAGGCTGAGGCACAAGAATCACTTGAACTCAGGAGGCAGAGTTTGCAGTGAGTTGAGATCATGCAACAGAGTGAGACTCCATCTCAAAAAAAAAAAAAAAGATGCAGTTTATTGTACATACACTTCAATGAAGTTAATTAAAAACCAGTTCTGACTTTAAAAAATAGCTTGAATAGTGGGATCACATTTTTCAAAAGTTCCTTCTCTCCGCTGCCTGTACATACCCACAGGGTGACTGCAATGAAGTTCACTAGACATTAATGAAATAATTGATTTCTGGATGGTAGGATTTGAAGCAATTTAAAAAATATTTGTCTTTGATGTTTTTCCTATTGTTTGGACTTTTATAGTGAGCATATGTAATGTTTATAACTGATAATGAATATTGACATGTAAGTATGTAATATTCCATTTTATGGGGGCATTGTGTTGAAGACATTCTGTGGAGACAGGTGCACCAGACGAGAAAGGAGACCTACTTCCCAGCCCTAGCCATGGGTGCTGACTTGCTCAGCTGCTTTCATTTGCTCACGGAAAGAGTCTATTTTATTTTCCCTATTAAAATGGCAGTAGAAATATGAATTCTGCATACCACTCCCCAAACAGGTAGAAATGGCTTTAATTCATTCTGATCAGGGCTCTCAAGCTAGCTGAGGCCAGGGAAAGTACAGGCCGTTCTAATCCTCACTGTGGTGCCTGTGACACCCGCAAGAGAATATTGCCAACATGTTCTTGCCTTGGTGCTAGTGGCAGTACGCAAGGTACTTGATTTCTTTTTCACTATTTCTATGTGTAAAATGGGGACAGGCTGATGGGGTTGGTATGAAAAAGCATAAATCTAATTATACACTTTGGAAATAGATGTTTGAATAATAACAGGATTTTGTTATTTATGCTGAACAATATTTTGTCATTTCTACAGTATATTCTAGGATTTAAATTTCTACTGGTGCAAATTTTGCTAACTAGGTTTCCACCCATTCATTCAGGTTAAAGCATTGATTTCTGCCTGGGTTAGAGCACAGGCAGTTCCATTCCTCACAGTAGTAAATTCACCTCTGCTAAGATAGAAGGACATTGCAATTCAAAGCCTTCCAATACACCAAACAAAATGTCTGAGTAATGCCCACAGATGCTGAAATTACTGGATAAATCCCAGATCTTTCTCTTATTTAAAAAAATAAAAATTTTAAGGTATATATTTTCTTCAGAGAATGAAAAAATACAAGAACCACATTGTCACCCCAAAATGTAAAAGGAATATCTGATAGATAACAGTCTTTGTGTGCGTGTGTCCTATTTGACTGCTCATAAACAGGCTCTGTGTGACTGCATTGCCTAGCAACTCTATTGACAAGGCTTTAAAAGTCTGCAATTAGCAGGTTGAATGGTATTACAGAGAGGTCCTTGAAAAGATGGTACAGATTACTAAGATGCAATATTCCTTTTTAGAAAGAATAATAAGTCTTTATATAGCCATCAAATACAGTTCAGACTGCAAAGTAAATAACATAAAAAGATTCAGATGGAAAAGTGTAACTCTGTTATAAACTGCCAAATCCCAGAAGAAAAAACGTTTAAGATACTAGGAGCCTTCCAGTGTGAAGCATTTAGATGTTTGGCTGCTGTTTGTAAACTGTATTTTGTTTTAGTAGGTAACTGTATGATTATATGATACATTACATTTGACACTACCTCACTGTGATATCTTATAAACAGAGGGATGTACAGAAAATTTTTAATCAGAAACCGAAGATTGTCCCAACCAGCAAAACAAAGACTTATAACAAATTAGGTAATAACAGTTTACTCTTACCTTCCTGAATTACTTTCACTTCTGCTCCTTCTTTTAATTCTCATAGAACAGATATTACCTATGCTATGAATTCTACTGCAAGGAGAGATTCTGTCTGCATATCAGAATTAAAAGGGGTCTGGTTCAAAATACAGATTCCCAGGCCCAAATTCAAGTCAGTCTGGTTAGTAATGGGGAGAGTGGGGCCCGGGATCTGTGCTTTAAGAACCTGCCTGCCCCTGCCCTGTTAAATTAATGAGTCCAAAAGAGTTGGTCCAGGTACCCATGTCTGAGAACCACCATCTGGACTCACGTGAGGCTAGTGCTTTGCCAAGAGCATTGCAGAATTAGAAATGGCATAGCAGGTTTGGGATGGCAATGGTGTTGGGTGCTGTGTCAATCACAGATTGTTAAAACAATGCAAGCAGTTTTCTTCTATTTCCATTTTTCTGCCCAGTTGCTCTGCCTTATGAGATTTTCCTGCTTGGCTTACATGGACCATCTTGGATTTCCATTACCTAGAAGAATTTAGTATTCTCTCTAAACTTGGCTATATTTCTATCTATTCTCCCTGAGCGTTTAATAAAAGATTATTCTTGAAACTGAGAAAAGCCCACTCTCCAGAGGGCTCATGTTTCTTAATGAGCATGTGATTCTTTTTTCTTTTTTATTTTATTTTATTTTTTTTTTTTGAGACAGAATTTCACTCTTGTTGCCTTGGCTGGAGTACAATGACTTGATCTCAGCTTACCACAACCTCCGCCTTTCCCAGGTTCAAGTGATTCTCCTGCCTAAGCTTCCTGAGTAGCTGGGATTACAGGCATGTGTCACCACACCCAGCTAATTTTGTATTTTTTAGTAGAGACGGGGTTTTTCCATGTTGGTCAGGCTGGTCTCAAACTCCCAACTTCAGGTGATCTGCCCACCTTGGCCTCCCAAAGTGCTGGGATTACAGGTGTGAGCCACCACACCCAGCGATTTTTTTTTTTTTGAGACAGAGTTTTGCTTTGTTGCCCAGGCTGGAGTGCAGTGGCATGATCTTGGCTCACTGCAGCCTCCACCTCCTGCACTCAAGTGATTCTCCTGCCTCAGCCTTCTGAGTAGCTGGGACTACAGGTGTGTGCCACCATGCCTGGCTAATTTTTGTATTTTTAGTAGAGAGAATTTCACTATGGTTGGCAGGATGGTTTCGATCTCCTGACCTTGTGATCCACCCACCTCAGCCTCCCAAAGTGCTAGGATTACAGGCATGAGCCACTGTGCCTGTCCATGAGCAAGTGTTTCTAAACAAGTTCACTGCCTGTGACAAAACAGTGCTCCCCTCAATCTAATAATGACTTACCTTAATCATTTTGGTTTGGAACATTCTTAAGAAAGTATAATTAGAGGACATCCACAACTTTCCACATGCCTATATACTCCTTCAATAAAATTGATCAAGGGAAAAAGAATGACTACACCCTCTTGGAAGGTTAGTAGTACATAACATGTGCAATTCACAATGAATGCAAGGGGCTCAGAGCCGCTCCTGCAGAAAGCTATGTCTGATCCCACCTCTTCGCCCCTTTCCACTGCCACAGTCCTCACACAAATGAGGTTTCTCCTTGAAACTCTCTGAGCGTGGCTCAGTGCCTCTCTGATGATGGCTGGCTAAGTCATGCCTACTTCCATGATACAGTTTCGATCTGTGTCCCTACCCAAACCCCATGTTCAGTTGTAATCCCCAGTGTTGGAGGTGGGAGGTGATCGGATCTTGGGGACAGTATTTCTCATGAATGATTTAGCCCCATCTTCCTTGGTCACAATACTGAGTGAGTTCTTAGGAGATCTGATTGTTTAAAAATGTTATGTGGTACCTCCCCCCTACCTCTCTTCCTTCTGCTCTGGCCATGTGAAGTGCTCACTCCCCCTTCAGCTTCCACCATGATCGTAAGCTCCCTGAGGCCTGCCCAGAGGTTGATGCTGCCATGCTTCCCATACAGCCTGCAGAACTGTGAGTTTCTTTATAATTATGCAGTCTCAGGTATTTCTTTATAGCAATGTAAGAACATATGAATACACTCCACTATGAAAGCTTGACTTTCTTAAAGGCATAGACCATTCCTGATAGCGTATGCACCATGAATGAGTAAGAAAATCAGTGATCATGTAGCCTCCTTTCCCCTTTACATTTATATATGCTTGATGTATAGACCCCTTTTGTATCCACCATAAGCTTTTTCTTCTTTCCCCATAGACCCACAGAGATTCTGTGACTTTCTATGGCTCTCTTCAGCTGTCTCAGCTACTTCCAACTTGGTTGTTCAAAAACTATTGCAATAGAGCAATTTCTATCAACTGACTTCAATAAGGGTATACACTATCAACTGCTGTAACTCAAGGCTAACCTTTTTCCGAGCATTCTCTGTGGGTTATTGCTTTGACCCAGAACTTATGTTTATTTGTAAAGAGAGATTCACGTACCTCATCCTGCAACAGAGTCTTACTGTACTCCAGGTGGTGCCTCTCCAAAATAGAAGAACCATGAAGTCTTGCTAATGGAGATGTGGATCTAGAAGGAAAACAATATGCCATGATTTTAGCTGTTTAAAAATTACACATAGGCTCATATGATACAGTATCTTTATTGTTTCAGGATTTTTCTTAATATCTTTCCTCTCCCTTCCAATTCAATACCTGTGAAGTGGTCAAAAATAACATATTGGAAAAGATTTCCTAAATTTAGAAGATGAGAATTTGCTCTTTTGGAAAAAAAAACCCTGAATTTGTTGAATGCATACATGATTGAATTGTTTAAATTAAGGAGAATAGCTCCTTGTATCTAAATTTTTCAAGTTCCCTGGGCTTATGGTGGTGGACTATGACTTATAAAATGTATAGCAAACCTGTGGAAGCCCATAGGTTATCTGCATAGAACCAAGATGAAAAGCACTATAAAGAAACATTTCTCTCCTCCCCCAAGACAGTGACATAAATTTAAGCTTAGAGTTCCCATTTATTAACAATTAGATCACAGCTTTACATAAGTGAGGGCTCCAGTCTTTTTTGTACTGTTTTTCTTCAGTGCCTTCGGGGTAAAAGAGGCTGAAGTCAAAGGTCTATAGATGATGCGAAGACTGTCATGAAAATATAGAATAAATTATTTTAAAGAAAGAAATAAAAAACATGGCTGGTAGCCTTAGTAGGGAAATTTTATTTATTTCATGGAGAACAAAACTTTAGGCTGGGAGAGGTCATAGCCAGGTTACTGGCAGGTCAGGGAAAGCAAATACTTTAGCTGGAGAATAATTAGGCCATATCTAATCATATTACAATTGATCCCAATTTTAACACATACTTAAACAACTCCTCTGTGTTGGCATTGGATATTTTTTAAAATGAGTAAATTCTAGCCTCTATAACCACCAAACTGCTCTCTGTCTTATGAGATCCACTTCTGAAGCCTCCTTATATGAGTAAAAAAATGTGATATTTGACTCTTCATGCCTGGCTTATTTTACTTAACAAAATAACCTCCAGTTCCATCCCTATTGCTGCAAATGACAAGATTTTTTTTTTTTTGGTGGGTGTATAATATGTATGTGTATATATGTATCTACATATCTCACATTTCCTTGGTAGAGAGTAATTTGGTAGTTATCAGAGGCTAAGAATGGAAGGGAGGTGAGAATCATGTAGACAGGTTGATTAATGGGTACAAATATACAGGTAGGTAAAATAAATAAGACCTAGTCTTCAATAAATTAATAGAGTATGGCAAACAACAACCTATTGTATATTTCAAAATAGCTAGTGAAGAATAATTTGAATGTTCTCAGCATAAAGAAATCATAAATGTTCAAGGTGATAGGTAGCCCAGTTACCCTGTTTTGACTATCACATATCATATGAATGTATCAAAATATCACATACCCCAAAAATATGAACATCTATCATGTAGCAATTTAAAATATATATTTTTTAAAATGAATAAACCTCAATTCTAGTTAGAAAGGAGTGGTATCTTTAATTCCTTTGGGTTTAAAAACATTAGTTAAAAATGTTATTAGGAAGCTAGATCTTCATCTGGTCTCAAAATAATGCTTTGTGACTTATTGATTGCAAAGGAGAAAATGTTGCTTTACATAAAGAGACTATTGGACATAATTTATAAATAAAATTGATATCATGGGCTTCTTGACACAATGCATTGAGAAAGACACAACATCTTCTATGTAGAATTCCTGCCAAAAAATGTTTAGTCCGAATTTAGTAATCAGGAAACAAGTGGTTAAATCCAAACTGAAAGATATTCTGCAAAATAGCTAGCTTAGACTCTCCAAAAATGTCAACATCCTGAAACACAAAAAGGTGGAGCAACTACTCCAGATTAAAGGAGATTAACGATATTTAACAACGAAACGTCAAGTGTGATCCTTGAATAGATCCTGAATTAGAAAGAAAAATTAAAGGACATTACTGTGGTAATTGGAAAATTTTGAATAAACATTGTATATTAGATAATAGTTATATTATACCAATGTATAATATATTACAATAGTATATTACACCAATGTTAAATTTCCTGAGGGTGATCATTGTATTGTGTTTATGTAAGTGAATGTCCTCCTAATTCTTAATAAATACATGCTGAAATATTTAGAAATGAAATATAGTATCTGCAACCCACTCACAAATGATTTAGTGGAAGAAAAAAAAAGAATGCAGTGCTCATGCCTGTAATCCCAGCACTTTGGGAGGCTGAGGCAGGAGGATTACTTGAGCCCAGGAGTTGAACACCAATCTGGGCAACATAGAGAGGCCCTGTCTCTACAAAAAGTTAGCCAGGCATGGTAGCATACACCTGTAGTTCCAGCTACTTGGGAGGCTGAGGTGGGAGGATTGCTTGGGCCCCGGAGTTCAAGGCTGCAGTGAGCCATGATCCTGCCACTGCAGTCCCTGGGTGACAGGGTAAGACCCTGTCTCAAAAAAAATGAAAGATGAATTTACACACACACACAGATATTCACACACACACTACCAGTCTGCAGTCAGGAAGCCCTTCCATCACCACATGCTCCTACAGTTGAGTTGACAGAGGAGGAATGATGGAAGAAAACCAGGCCAATGCAGAGGGCAGTGTGTGGCTGCATTTATCCTTCCTGCAAACCTGGAGGCAAGATGCCAGCTTCAATCCTGCTGCTTTCTATGACCTAGGGCAAGTTTGACTTCATCTTTTGAGCTCATCAGTAAAAAAGGGGGATAACGGTACTTACTATATGGTACCTCCCTTCACTGTGCTGTGAAGGTTAAATGAGTTAGTAGGTATCAGATCCTTAGCATGGTCTCTGGCCCACTTTGTCTATAGCCCAATTTGTCTCTAGAGGGAAAAAAGAGCCCAGGAGTTCAACAACAGCCTGGGCAACATAGGGAGGCCCTGTCTCTACAAAACCAATATAAAATTTAGCCAGGCATGGTAGCATATACCTGTAGTACCAGCTACTTGGGAGATGCTCAGTTTGTTCCTCTGGAACTGAGTTGGCTACTATACTACTGATCAAGAAGGAGGAAGAGAACTTCAGTGACTATCAGGGGACTTGCATTCAGGAGGAGTGAGTGGCTGGAATAGGCTGGAACCTTTTGAGATGAAGAAGATGTCTCTTGCCTGAAGTCTGAATGGAGATCGTCTTTTCAAGACAAAGCCTTATAATAGATAGAATTGCTGAAGATGAGGAGTCACTGCTTACAAAATGCTTTTCATTCCATGAAATTATATATGTGCAGCCTGCCTAGTAGGCACTTTCTCATAGATTTCACCTATGTAATTTCATTTGAGTCTCACAACAATCTTTGAGAGGTCAATACTTTATCCATTTCATAGCTAAGAAACTGAATCTCAAATAGATTAAGTGACTTGTCCAAGATCCCCCAACCAGGAAGGAGTTGGTCCCCACGAACCCAAGACTTCAAAGCCTGTTCTGTGTATAACACTTCATTACTTCTGGAGAAGGGTAAGCCGTATGTTGGAAATAAGAATGAAGTGTGGCTAAGGCAGATAGACCATCTTAAAACCCATTTCGAGGAGCTGGGCTGGGCCACGAGCAATGCTGGTGAATGAAGAGTTCCAATGACATTACTATTATAACAATAGTAATCATAATAATACCTAATATTTATTTATTTTTCCTGAGATGGAGTCTTGCCCTGTCTCCCAGGCTGGAGTGCAGGAGCGTGATCTCAGCTCACTGCAATCTCTGCCTCCTGGGTCCAAACAATTCTCCTCCCTCAGCCTCTCCAGTAGCTGAGATTACAGGCACCTTCCAGCTAATGTTTGTATTTTTAGTAAAGACAGGGTTTCACTATGTTGGCCAGGCTGGTCTCAAACTCTTTACCTCATGATCCACCCGCCATAGCCTCCCAAAGTGCTAGGATTACAGGCATGAGCCACTGCGCCTGGCAATTATACCTAATATTTATTAACTGCCAGGATCCTCCCATGAGTTGAGGGCTTTATATGCATGATTCCATTTAATCTTTACAACAACCTTATGTGCTGGATACCATTATTATAATTCTTACTTTTCAGATGAGGAAATTGAAGCTTAGAAAGCTTAAATAACTTGTGCACATAACAGTGAATCCAAATCTGCCTGAGCCCAGAGCCTGCACCCTTCTTATTGTACTTCCTTTCTTGTGGCAAGAGAGCAAGATGGCATCAATGTTAAGGTAGAAGACCAGCTGAAGGAGAGTTTTGTAGAAGCAAAACGACCAGGGAAGTGAAGGGTAGTGAGCCCAGAAGTAGTGTTCTCTAGCCTGAGCTGGGGAGTGCTCCATTGGAGTATACAAGTGTAAGCCTAACATTCATGCACCTTGTTTGTTTGTTTGTTTATTGAGACAAGAGTCTCACTTTGTTGCCCCAGCTGGAGTGCAGTGGCACAGTCTTGGCTCAGTACAGCCTCCGCCTCCTAGGTTCAAGCAATTCTCCTGCCTCAGCCTTCCTAGTAGTTGGGATTATAGGTGCCTGCCACCATGCCCGGCTAATTTTTGTATTTTTAGTAGAGACAGGATTTTGCCATGTTGGCCAGGCTCGTCTTGAACTCCTGACCTCAGGTGATCCGTGAGCCTCACTTGCCCAAAGTGCTGGGATTACAGTCGTGAGCCACCGTGCCTAGCTGGACTCATGAACTTTAATATAGGAATTCAATACTCTGATTAAACAAGGTTGAGAAAAGAAAGCCTGAAGTCCTACAGGAAGAAGACAGAGGCACATCTGGAAATGAAAACAAAGGAAAGGGGGATGCAAGCCCCTAGGGAGAAAGAGCAACATTATGGTGGAGGCAGAAGCTTGGGAGGGAACAGAACCCAGCCCTGGGGTTTCCAAACATGGCAAAGAGGGATTGACTGGGCCAAGGAACAGGAAGAAGTGTTCCTCTCACCCTAGGTACCTTCCAGTGTCCACCAGTAAGTGTCAAGATTGCACATGTGTTCACTTACTTCATCTGGTACAAATTATTGGTGCCTCTGTGGTCAATATCATGGCAGAAAGCAGCAGCGAGCATGGCAAAGGCTTCGAGATCTGTGTAGTATTTCTTTAATCTTCCTGTCTAAAAAAATAACATATATACATGTATCTGTAATTGATTTGAATCAATATACCTCTATACCAAGTACAGCAAGTCCTGCCTGCAATAGAGAAAAGGCCCACTACGTTTTTGGAGCAAGTTCACTTTATTTCCTGTGAAGATTGTAGCATTGTGGGTAATGACTGAACCTTCCTTTAAGAAGGGAAGTAATGTCAACGTCTGAATGATCATGGCACCAGTGCTCAAGGATACCCACGATCCCAGGGTTCCTCTGCAACGAAGAGGGGTTTGTACCCTGAATTTTTAAATTACTGATCTAAAATGATAGACCATATATATTTCTCATCAGATTCAAATGGGAAGTCTGCAGTTTTACCAGTATTTACGGCCCTCTGCACTTACCATCAGCAAAGTAAACATGGTCTGTCCCACATTGAACCCATGCCGCCAGTTGTGGTAAGTGACAGCGCGGTATCCTTTCCTTACGGTGTACATCCATCTGGTAAGAACCTAAAAGAAGACAACACCATTCAAACTTTGGAATCGAATTCTAAAGGTTAGAGGGTCTGTGGCGATCTTATCTAAAAAGATATGTTAGTCCGGTTGACAGGTTAAGCCGATGTGTTTAGAAAGTTACTTTAAAATTCAAACTGAGTCCATCTTTTGAACCACAGAAAACATCAGTGACGTAGAGCTACCGAATCACACAGTATTTTAAATTAAATACCATCTGACCTCTACGGGTACTTTGAATTTCTCCACCACATTTATTTCAAAAAACAGTCGTATTCCACATTTAATCAATCCATGCTCTGTAATGGGGAAGTCACTGAAGCGGAATTCGTACAGTTCTACTGAGCGTGGGTCTGGCAAGTCCTCTTTCTGTTGAAATAAGGAAGGATTGTGTCAGATCACATTCATCGGTTTTCCCTTTCCACTCCCATAGTCAACATTGGTGTAAAACAAAATTACAATAAAAGAGCACAATGTGTGATTTCGCTGAGGCACCATGTGCCAGCGAACAGATGTTGCAGTTTGCACAGATTATCCTCACAGCAGGCCTACACGATTACCCCCATTTCACAGGTGGTGAAACAGACTTCGCTATATTAAAAACTTTCTAAGTGATAGGATACCATTCCAAATCCAACTCCAGTAGCTATTTTCTTTCTATGATGCAAAATAAAATATTTAGTTACAAAAGCCTTACTCATTTTCAATACTCAACTTATTTTCTGTTCAAGAAACATTCTATGAACAGTAAATGACTACTTAATTCAATTCTACTTTTCTTTATATGCTCAAGTGACAGTTTCCCACTAGAATGTGAGCTCCCCAAGGGTGGGGATCATCTGCTTATTTGCTGCCATATCCCACATCTGCAGTACCTGTCCCATGAAGGTGCTCAGGAAATGTTTGTTGAATGAATGAATGGATGGATGGATAAACCAGTGAATTCCCTGCAGTACACAAGTATACGTGCAGACATTTAATTGAATTCACATCTAGTTAGGATTCCAGATTATGTGAAAAAAACAGTGAAGTAGGCACATGGCATTGGCACAATTTAAGAAATAAAAATACGGATCTTGCCCTTAAAGAACTTAACTTATTAAAGTGGTTATAAAATGTAGATGAATGAAAAGTAAGTGCTTAGAATAATCAGAGAGTATGGCCAGTGCTCCATGCGGAGGGAGAAACTGAAAGACTTTGGACAGTTGAGAAATTAAACGAGGAGAAATGCTGGAGGAGCATGCATGCAGCTGAGCTGGCAGAACGAAGCGGGGAGATGATTCCACATGGGAGAGAAAGTGCCAAGAGGCGGAAATTAGCAGCACCTATGTGGGTGTACCAGACAGACTTGCAGTAGCAATTCAGTTCAGTGGGTATTTATTGAATGTGTAGTATGTCCTTAGTACGCTGAGAAAAACACAAATATAGGGAAAAGCAAGTCACTCCTCTTAGTAAGTTGAATGTTTTTCAGGGGACTGCCCATGCTCTATTTATGCAGATTTCAACACCAAATGGCATATGGCTATTTAAAGCAAAATTATGGTTTCCAGTCCCCCCAGCCCCCGAGCCTGGGCTGGCCCCTAACACCCTTGCACAGAACTGTTGCTATTACACCCAGAAAATTGGCTGAGCCATCCCTGAAGGTAACATGAAAGTGCAGACCTGGAGAAAGACTCAGGTACATGAGGATGGACAAATAATTATATAGCGGAGAAATTACGCCAGGATAATTTTGGAGAACTCCTCTGAAATATGTGTTGTATTCCTCAATTTTATGCAGCAATGATTTGGGATTTTCCCAGATTAGATTTTACATTCAAAATAGGCTGTTTTTTTTAGGAAGTCTACTGGTTATGTGTCCACTTTATTGCTTCTACAACATGAGATCCTTCTTCCTTTAAATGAGAAACTAGAGAATTTCTAGTGTCATGGATGTCAGCAAAAGTTTTGTTTTCCAAGATGCCTACTGTTGAGGGCAGGTGGGGAGAAGAAAGGGTGGTCTTCTGGGCCAGGCTGGGAGGATGGTGCTCAAAGGGGAGCCAAGCAAAATGGGAGAAAAGGGAACTTCTGATGACATGGAAACTTGAGTGATTCTGGTATTAAGATCTATTGGTGATTCTGGTATTAAGATGGGTACCTTAAAATAATAAACATCAATACATTTTTTTAAATACAGGGAAAGATAGTCAAAATAGATCAAATGATAAAAAGTTTCAACACAGAAAACCTTAACAAAATAATTAAATGTACATACTAGAACTGAAAAAACTCTCTGAAATTAAGAACTTATTGAGAGTTTTAACAGTTGATTGGACACAACAAAAGACAGAATTAGTACAGTGAAAAAGTTAATTTCAGCCAGAAATAATAGGATGGCCTACTGGCAACAACAAGAAAGCACAGAAGCCTTTAGACTCCAGAAGAGAAGCTAGAAATGGCAGGTGGAGGGTGAGGCCAGTGCCTAGAAGGATCCATGCTCCACTCTAACTCTGTCATGTCCCCTGGGGTGGCCATGGTGTCATCCACAGCTATTAAAATAAACTGTGCCTTGATATCCCCAGATTCTGTGCCTAAAGTCCCCTAAGCAGTAGTCTAGACTAGTTGCAATTGTAAACTATCTGTGTGAATTGGACCAGAGGTGACAAAGACAAAGAAAAGCAGGAAATCAGAAGGTCTATCTTTAGAAGAAATCTGTCTTTTAGCCTTGAGAAGTATCAGGAAAGAGAAAACTCAACATTGACTTGAAAAACAAGAAAGCATGTCCTAATATATTATTGATTTATGTATTAGCTATTTAACAGGTATTAAGGTTAGAAGGAAAACACTTACCAAAATTGCAACAAGTTGTTTTTCTTCACATTCGTCAATTACATCAACATTTAACTTCTCTTGAAATTTCTAAAATGTAAAAGCAATTGAGGTGTGAAATTCCTAAAGGAGAAGATTTCCATACGATTCCTCTACTATTAAAATCTTAGGTAAGATATATTTAAAATATGTGGGAGGCAGAGGCAGGAGGATCCCTGGAGCCCAGGAGTTGGAGGATTCAGTGAACTGTGATGACACCACTGCACTCCAGCCTGGGCAAGAGAGTGAGAGCCCATCTCTAAAAATAAGTAAAAAAATAAAATATACTGTAATAAGTTCCAGGGCAAAGATGCATTCTTCATTGTGGATACAAAGACCTATAGCTCCTGATTATGAAGAATTTTTTTCAAGAAATAATCTAATATATTTGATTTTTTTAAATTGCCCCAAAATGGTTACAGTAACTGGTTAAAAAAAAGGAAGAAAAAAAGAGGTGTAGGTGTGCGTTGTTTGCATGTAGGAAAAAGAAAATGAGTGGCTTACATTTATTTTTCTATGGGCTTATTGCAATTTCCTTTATTCTCCCCAGATCTTCTCACCGTTAATATCTCAAACTCTCAAAGGGAGTTACACTCAGACCACTCAGCAAAACCAAAAACCAACACCCTCACCAAAAACAACCCACTCTAGCAAAACTATACCTACACACACACACACACAACCTGGGAAATAAAAGGAACAGAGATGCTGGGTGCATGATATTTTCCCTTCATTTCGTGGTGATTAGAACATGGTTAGCAAATTCCCACTTGCTCCCCCATCATCCATAAGGTTGGTCTTTGTGATGTGGGTTTCTTTGCCCAGTGAGTATTTTTGTGAATGAATGTGATGTGAGCAAAACTTGAAGTATGACTGCACAATTGGGCTTGCTCTCTTGCACTTCTGTCATCTCTATGAGAAGGATGTCTATAAGGTAGCTCCTGGTCTGTGAAGAATAGAGCAAACCAAATTCATAGCTTGGAGCCAAGCCTAGCCACTGTCAATCAAAGCCTGGTCAACCCACAAATGCGAGTGAGAGACAGAGGTAGAGGTTCATTACTGCATGCCACAGAGGTGTTAGGGTTGTTGTTATGCAGCATTATATGACAATAGCTGACTGATACATTTCTCTTCCTAAAACATATTTTTTTCTTGCTAGATGTTATTATTCTAGCTCCCACAACCTAATAGCGCTTTTAACAAAGCGCTATTCCAGCCAAGCAGCTGTACTTCTAGTAAGGGTCTCTGTATACTGGGCCATCCATGTGTTCTTCCAACCCCTCCTTCCCTCCTTCTCTCTCTCAGACCAGGAGTAAACCATTCACATTTGTCAGACTCCTGGGTATTTGGGTGACTTTGGTTAGATAGCATCTTACGTCCACAGGACTGAATTCCCCACTTACCAAGATGGACTTAATTTCTTCAGGAGTGGCTTTGGTGTGGTTCATGAGCATTTCCTGAGCTATGTCCTTTCTGTTTTCCAGCTTATTCATCTTTTCATAGGTGTCAGTATTTAAAAGAGACCATCCAAGAAATTGTGTGAGAGTCTGAAATGGATGAAAGGTGATTCTAATTCTCTTCGGTTAAAGGAAAATTGGTTTGGAGGCAACAATCTGCATGCTTTTCTATCAACCTCCCTTCCATCAACCACCACCCCAGTCCTTTTAATTTGAGAAAAGCATACTAATCATCAGCTTCAGACAGTAACATTGGCTGAGTTCTTGCTTTTTAAAGTGTACCATGCACCATGAATACTTTGTTAGAACAGAGATGGGTTACCAACACCAGTATAATCAACCAGGACCTAAAAATTAGGCAAGGGGCTGGGAGTAAGAATAAGAATGAGAGGTAACAGGAAGAAGGAGTGAAAAAAAGGAAAGGAAAATCCTCTTTCCCATTTTCCTAGTATTATCATGAATTTTGGTTAAGCTACAATTTTATACTTTGGTAGAAAATGTTGCAGTTTATAGAAGTCAGGAAATAGAAATGACAAAATAACAACATATTGGTTACAGCTATGTGTGACTCATGTCTTAATGGCCCTTCAAAATATTCCAGAATTATGCGCCCTCTCTTATTTTGTGAGTTGCATTCACTCCCATTTTCTTATTACTGCACTTACCTCAGTAATGTATTCATCATGCTCATCGAAAGGTTTTCCATCCTTCCTGTTGTAAAATGTAGCCACTCCCACAATGTCTTCTTTCTTGTTGACAATAGGCAGGGACAAAACATTCTTAATGACCCAACCAGTTTCATCTACAGGTCCTTTCTACAAATGAGAAGGGACCTCAAGTTATTTTTTTTTTTTTTTGCCTTTTCATTTAGAAATAATCATAGAATCACAGGATATTGCAAAAGAAATGTACAGAGTGTCCAGGTATCCTTCACCCAGTTTCACCCAGTGGTAACTGTGGTTTCACAACTATAATACATTTTCCACTGTCTTGTGTAACTATAGTACAATATCAAAACCAGAAAATAGACATTGTACAATCCAGAACTGATTTTGATTTTACCAGATTTGTATGCACTTGTTCGTGTGTGTGTGTGTGTGTGTGTGTGTGTACATATTGTTCTATGCAAATTTATCCCTTGTGTAGATTTTCAACCACCTTTAGAATCAAGATACAACACTATTCCATCACTATAAGACCCCTGTACTTCCTCCCTGACAGCTACCACCCAACCATGACTTAGTTTATTTTTTATTTAAAGAAAGAGGCCAGGCACAGTGGCTCGCGCCTATAATCCTAGCACTTTGGGAGGCCAAGGCGGGAGAATCACCCGAGGTTAGGAGTTTGAGACCAGCCTGGTCAACATGGTGAAACCCTGTCTCTACTAAAAGTATAAAAATTAGCCAGGTATGGTAACACACGCCTATAATCTCAGCTACTTGTGAGGCTGAGGCAGGAGAATTGCTTGAACCCAGGAGGCAGAAGCTGCAGTGAGTTGAGATTATGCCACTACACTCCAGCCTGGGCAGCAGAGTGAAACTCTGTCTCCAAAAAAAAAAAAAAAGAAAGAAAGAAAGAATAATCTTTGGGTGTGAGATGTAGCAATTCCTACTTTGTGTCAGAACATGCTAGGACCATACAGCCGTTATACGTACTTTAGCACATCCAATAGTGTGAACTTGAACCAAGTGTCTGTTTTCTGACAATTCCAACCTTTTCCCTTTCTTTCCCAAGCCTGAGGGATGGGAAGTGCTTCTTACCACTATATTACCTCACTGTTCCCTTTACACTTTTCCTGTCTTCCAACACCTGTTTAACTAATTCCTTATATAAAATTCTCCTGTTGAAACACGAGTGTGCTTTTGTTTTTCTGACTCATCCATCAAGATAGTCTTTCATTCTGTGGTGTGTTGAGTAAACATTTGTCAAGCCTCTATGGTATGCCAGGAACTGGGTCAGTTGCTGAAGGTGCAAAAGAGAACAAATCACAGATGTTGCCCTCAAGATGCTTAGGGTCTAGTGGAGGGGTGCAGGCACAGAAGTTTAGGAGTGTTTCTCAAAGTGTGGTCCAAGGACCAGGTGCAATGGATTTGTTTTAGCTTATTTCATTATCTTTAGGCATGCATCTTTTTTTTTTTTTTTTTTTTTGAGACAGGGACTTACTCTGTCACGCAGGCTCGAGTGTGATCTCGCTCACTGCAACCTCTGCCTCCCAGGTTCACGTGATTCTCCTGCCTCAGCCTCCTGAGTAGCTGGGATTACAGGTCTGTGTCACCACACCTGGCTAATTTTTGTATTTTTAATAAAGATGAGGTTTTACCATGTTGGCCAGGCTGATCTTGAACTCCTGACCTCAAGTGATCCACCCACCTCAGCCTCCCAAAGTGCTGGGATTACAGGCATGAGACAGCATGCCTAGCCTGGGCATGCATCTTCAATAAGCTTCCCAAGTAATTCTGATGCGCTCTGAAGTATGAGAACCATGATGTAGCATTTGCATAGTATGTAGCTAAGGCAGAGATAGACAAGAACTCAACACACCATATCATGTTTCTTTAAGACTTCCCTTGGCTTATTTAATCATCCTTACAGGCCCCTGGTAAGTCTTGACTCTTCCTTGAAGCCTTTTCTGACTTTTCTAACTGATACAGAACTTTTCCTTCTTGGAATTCCAACTGCACTTATAGCCTGAACCACAGTTTAGCGTTTAGACTGAGGATGTAATAGGTGCTCAATCAAAGTAACCTGTTTACTACTTATGACTAGTCTTTATATGTGGAATGAAAAGCAGGCGAACCAAACCTCAATGTCTGTGTCCTGATGGCCAAAGCTTTAGAAAAAAAAAATGCAGTGCATAGTGTTTGCAAAGCATGCATCTTTGGAAAACACTGAGAAATAATTATGTACTTATGCCATCATACGGACCAAAGGCAAATCAATAACAGGAAATATATCACATGTGTGCAAAAGAACTTCACGTGTATTTGTTAAAGCTTCCAAAATAAGCTTTGCTGACTGCTTCTCAGTATTTCAGGAAATACGCATTTGCTCCCGCTTCATATTTATGTATTTTGCCATTAGCTAGAGCTTGTAGACCGACAAGTGGCAGAAGGAACCTAAGGTTTAAGAAAAGTTAGTAGGACAAAAAACAGAGGAAATTCTATGCACTTTTCCCCCTGTGAATTGGGATTATTTTTATTGATGTTAAAGGGAGACCCCTTAGTTCACTTCAAGAAGACTATGGCAGGCAGAACAATGGCCCCCAAAGATGTCTATACCCTAATCTCTGGAACCTGTGAATATGTTGTCTAACCCAACAGAGGGGAATTAAGTTTGCAGATAGAATGGCGGTTGCTAATTAGCTGGCCTTAAGATGGGGCAATTAGCCTGGCTGTTCCAGGTGGACCCTATGTCATTACAAGGATCCTTAAAAGTGGAAAAGAAGTTGGAATCAGAATGGGAGAAGGAGCTATGATGACAAAAGCGAGGTCGCTGCCGGCTTTGCCAGGGGAAGGGTTGCCAGGCAAGGAAGGCGGCAGCCCTGAGAAGCTGGAAAAGGTAAGAAGACGAATTCTCCCCAGAGCCTCCAGAAAGCAACAGAGTCCCGCCAGCTCTGTGATTTTAGCCCGTTTGACTCATTTTGGAATTCTGACCTCCAGAACTGTGAGACATTACATTTGTGTGATTTTAAACCACTCAGTGGCAATTCATGGCAGCAGGGATAGGAAATGAATCAATTGTGCCCACAAGGAACGTAGTCTGAGAACCACTGCCTTTGCAGGTTTGCTCTGACGGTGGTTCTTTTTATATCATTGGCTTTTCCATCAAACTTCTCAGGTGCAAAAAGGAAGCTAAGAATCAGAGTGGGGTCTGACCAGGGAGAGAGAGAATGGGAAGGCAGAGCACAAAAGGAAGGTGGTGATTTGGGGAGGGCGGCCACCCCACCCTAGTCTGCGCTGCGAAATGATGCCAGGTGATGCCAGTGAAGTGAAGTGGGAAGCAAGGCTGAAGGGCCTGAGAGGGGCATCAGATAGAGATACAATCCCAACCTTGTGCTGTGCGAAGGAGAAACGGAAGAATGGAAGGTTGGGGGAGCCCCCTATACCACCGTGCTGCTCTGAAACTGTTTGCAGAGCTGTTGGGTATTCCAAGGGACAATGCTACCTGGCAGGGGATCTGGCTGTCTTCCAGGAACCGGGCTGCTTTACTGTCCCTGCCACACCCAGTTACCAGTTGGGAGTGGCCCATGGAGAGCATAGCCCCAGCACAGATGTGACCATGGATTTCAGTTCAGCAGCCATTGCAGTTACACTCCTACAGGTGGCGATCTGAGAAGCACATTTTCATGGGCACCACACCTATGTTTTCCAGAGAACTGGGAAATCCCTGTGGCCTGGAGGTTTATCCCACAATGGGGACTCCCCAAGACCCCAGGGAGGTCCCAGGCCTCCTTCTGCCCAGGTCGTCAGAGTGCTTTTACAGCTGCTCCTGCAGTAGCTGCAGTGGAGCATGAAAGCAAAGGGCCTCACATCTCACAGAGCTGCTGGGGTTCTCCTGGGCCAGCCCCATTCCACTCTCTGTTCAGATAATGACTGCTTACGGCTCAGACTCTGGAAAATCATCGTCCCCCTTTTGCTGGCAGGCATCCTATCCTGACATCCACCTGCCATAAATATAGGGATCAGGGCTGGGCACAGCATGGTCACAAATAAGCTTCAATTGCAAAGAGGAAGGAGTTAGAGCAACCATATGGTGTTTCCATGTTTTCCATGTCAGTAAGCAAAGGGAGAAGCAGGCAGATGCATGGCACGAAGCAAGTGTGTACAGATTTCCCCGAGGCATGGTGTGGTTCTGCAGCTAAGGAGGCATGCCACAACCTGGGGAAGGCTGGCTTTTCCATAGAGGCAGAGATGGGGCTCTGAGTGCAAGAGACAGAAGGGCCCCAATGGTACCCACCGGGGAAGGCAGTCTCTATTCCAGACTGAGATCAGGGCTCTAAGGGGATGTTTTTTAAATGCAGGGCACAGAACAAGTGCCCAGAGACAGAAAAGAAGAGGCTGCAGAGCCAAATGCCAGTTTATCTCCAACAGTCAGGTTGGGAGGAGGTGACAGCTGGGGAGTGGGTGACAGAGATGACAGGTGAGGAGGGATGGACAGGTGGACAGGGGAGTGGCAGAGATGACAGGTGGGGGTGACAGGTGGGGAGGGGTGGTAAAGACCACAGGCTGGCCCTTCTGGTGGGCTGGATGAACTCGGGGAGGGGAGGGATCAACTCCGGGTCTGTAGCCAGGTTCCAGCAGGAAGCCCTAATTGGGGGAGAAGTGGGTCCGTTAGAGGAGCACATACAGAGGCTGATTCCTGGGAGTATCTGGTGGGGAGTGGAGGCAGATTCCCCGGCAGAGGTTTCTGCACAGTGGAGAAGGAAGGATACAACCAAGTCTAACAGCAAGAGAAGCTCTAAGGACTCAATCAGAATCGTTGATTTTCCTGAGAACAGTTGCAATAAGGGGCAGGGAAGGGCTGCTGAGGAAACCATCAGGAGAGGTGGATTCAGGCTATAGGATGTAGCCAGCCAATCATGCATGCAGAGAATGTTTATTGAGTATGAATACTGGGTGAGGCACTGTTGCTGCTCTCAGATCGGAGTCCCCAAACCCTGAGCTGCAAACCAGTACTGACCCATAGCCTGTTAGGAACCAGGCTGTGCAGCAGGAGGTGAGCAGGTGGTACTTGGGTGAAACTGTATTTACAGTCACTCCCCATTGCTTGCATTACCGTCTGAGCTCCGCCTCCTGTCAGATCAGCAACAGCATTAGATTCTCATAGGAGTGCGAACCCTACTGTGAACTGAGCATGTGAGGGATCTGGGTGGTGCACTCCTTATGAGAATCAAATGCCTAATGATCTGAGGTGGAACAGTTTCATCCCAAAACCATATCTCACACCACCCCCATTCTGTGGAAAAACTCTTCCACAGAAACTGGTCCCTGGTGCCAAAAAGTGGGGAACACTGCCCCAAATGACCAGGAGTGTGATCAAATGGGGGAGTGGCAGATCCCCTCCCTGGCCTTCTGTCTGATCTTTCTTTTCCTTACTAGCCTCTTCTTCCTTCATTGAAGAATCTGCTACTTGCTGGCCCAGCCAGGGTGAGTGGGAGATGGGCCTGTGTGTGCCTGTGGCCAACCTGATCATCAGGCAGACTGTGGGGGTAGAAGGAAGGCAAGAGCATCCACCCCGACCCCAGCCCTGGGAGGTGAGGCCTGACCCAGAGTGCAGTTACCTGAAATGTGAAGTATTCATCTGCAGGGGCATTCATCATGTTACAGATCTGGAAGGCAAGGGGAGACAAAAGTTCTGAAACATTGTGTGGTGGAGCCCTCTCAACCGCAAGCAAAATAAGAAAGAGTGCATGGGGAGTAAGGATTTCCTACTCTGCTCTTGACTGCTTGAAGGCAAATGGACCTCAGCTAGGCTACAGCCGCTAATAGCTCATTCAAGACAGTTTCTCTGCTGCTGACACTGGAGGACACGTGGTACCATCTCTGCTCCTTCCCATTCCCCCAGACTCTAGGTAATTCTCTTCAAATTTAAAGCAACAGGTCGCTCAGGCCAAGGAGAGGAGAAAACTGAGAAATTCTAGCTCTGCTAAAGCAGGTATGAGCAGCAGAGCTAGGACTGCTTTTCTTCTTCTTCCTGAAGTAAGATTGGGTTAGGAGATGATGGCTAAGGGGCAGGAGGAAAAAGCCAGATAGGTTTTTAGTTATACCAAAGTGAGGATTCAGTGAGAGATATCACTTTAATTACTGAAATTCACAGACTTATTGCTGATATCTTTAAGGACAAGAAATCATTCCATTTTGAGTCATTTTAAGTTTTCTGTACCTTAGGTCATAGTCACAAATGGATCCTAATGAAAGACCAGGTCTTTCTATGAGATACTTAAAACCAGAGTATTTTATTTTATTTTATTTTTATTTTTTTGAGATGAAGTATTTTTTCTATTTCCCAGGCTGGAGTACAATGGTATAATCTAGGCTCACTGCAACTTCTGCCTCCTGGGTTCAAGAGATTCTCTTGCCTTAGCCTCCCAAGTAGCTGGGATTATAGGCGCCCACCACTGCACCCAGCTAATTTTTGTATTTTTAGTAGAGATGGGGTTTCACCATGTTGGCCAGGCTGGTCTCAAACTCTTTTTTTTTTTATTATATGCTCATTTATTTTTGGTGAGAAGCAGCCTCCTCTGCTGCCACAGTATTCTTTTTATTTATTTATTTATTTATTTATTTAACTTTAGGTGCATATTATATCTGGCATTTCTGCCTATGTTATCCCTTCCCACCCTCCCCTCCCTCCCCACTCCCCGCTGTCTCTCCCCTACCCCCACCCAACTGCCCCCAGTGTGTGATGCTCCTTTCCCTGAGTCCACATGTTCTCATTGTTCAACACCCACCTATGAGTGAGAACATACAGTGTTTGATTTTCTGTTCTTGTGTCAGTTTGCTGAGAATGATGGTTTCCAGATTCATCCAAGTCCCTGCAAAGGACATGAACTCATCGTTTTTTATGGCTGCATAGTATTCCATAGTGTATATGTACCACATTTTCTTTGTCCAGTCTATCATTGATGGGCATTTGGGTTGGTTCCAGGTCTTTGCTATTGTACACAGGGCTGTAGTGAACATACGTCTGCATGTGTCCTTATAGTAGAACAAATTATAGTTCTTTGGGTACATACCCAGTAATGGAATTGCTGGGTCAAATGGAATTTATATTTCTAGATCCTTGAGAAATCGCCACACTGTCTTCCACAATGGTTGGACTAATTTACACTCCCACCAACTGTGTAAGAGTGTTCCTGTTTCTCCATATCCTCTCCAGAATCTGTTGTCTTCAGATTTCTTAATGATCGCCATTCTAACTGGCGTGAGATGATATCTCAGTGTGGTTTTGATTTGCATTTCTCTAATGACCAGTGATGATGAGCATTTTTCATATGTTTGTTGTTCTCATATGTGTCTTCTTTTAAAAAGTGTCTGTTCATATCCTTTGCCCACTTTTGAATGGGGTTGTTTGTTTTTTTTCTTGTATATCTGTTTTAGTTCTTTGTGGATTCTGGATATTAGCCCTTTGTCAGATGGGTAGATTGCGAAAAATTTTTCCCATTCTGTTGGTTGCCAATTTGCTCTAATGATGGTTTCTTTTGCTGTACAGAAGCTCTGAATTTTAATTACATCCCATTTGTCTATCTTGGCTTTTATTGTCATTGCTTTTGGTGTTTTAGTCATGAAGTCTTTGCCTATGCCTATGTCTTGGATGGTTTTGCCTACGTTTGCTTCTAGTGTTTTTATGGTGTTAGGTTTTACGTTTAAATCTTTAATCCATCTGGAGTTAATTTTAGTGTAAGGTGACAGGTAGGGGTCCAGTTTCTGCTTTCTGCACATGGCTAGCCAGTTTTCCCAACACCATTTATTAAACATGGAGTCCTTCCCCATTGCTTGTTTTTGCTGGGTTTGTCAAAGATCAGATGGTTGTAGATGTGTGGTGTTCCTTCTGGGGTCTCTGTTCTGTTCCATTGGTCTATGTCTCTGTTTTGGTATCAGTACCATGCTGTTTTGATTGCTGTAGCCTTGTAGTATAGTTTGAAGTCCAGCAGTGTGATGCCTCTGGCTTTGTTCTTTGTGCTTAGGATAGTCTTGGCTATGTGGACTCTCTTTTGATTCCGTATGAAGTTTGAAGTGGTTTTTTCCAGTTCTGTGAAGAAGGTCATTGGTAGCTTGATGGGGATAGCATTGAATCTGTAGATTACTTTGGGCAGTATGGCCATTTTCATGATATCAATTCTTCCTAACCATGAGCATTGAATGTTTCTCCATCTGTTTGTGTCCTCTGATTTCATTGAGCAGTGGTTTGTAGTTTTCCTTGAAGGGGTCCTTTACATCCTTTGTTAGTTGTATTCCTAGGTATTTTATTCTCTTTGTAGCAATTGTGAATGGGAATTTGCTCTTGATTTGGCTCTCTGTTTGTCTGTTATTAGTATATAGGAATGCTTCTGATTTCTGCACATTGATTTTGTATCTTGAGACTTTGCTGAAGTTGCTTATCAGTTTGAGAAGATTTTGGGCTGAGACAATGGGGTCTTCTAGATGTACAATCATGCCATCTGCAAATAGAGACAGTTTGAGTTCCTCCTTTCCTAAATGAATACCCTTTATTTCTTTTTCTTGCCTGATTGCTCTGGCTAGAACTTCCAATACTATAGTGAATAGGAGTGGTGAGAGAGGGCATCCTTGTCTAGTGCCTGATTTCAAAGGGAATTCTTACAGCTTTTGCCTGTTCAGTATGATATTGGCTGTAGGTTTGTCAAATATGCCTTTTATCATTTTATGATACACTCTGTCAATACCTAGTTTATTGAGAGTTTTTAGCATGAAAAGCTGTTGAATTTTATTGAAGGTCTTCCTGCATCTATTGAGATAATCATGTGGTTTTTGTCTTTGGTTCTGTTTATGTGATGGATTATATTTATGGATTTGTGTATGTTGAACCAGCCTTTGCATCCCTGGGATGAAGCCTACTTGGTTGTGATGGATAAGCTTCTTGATATGCTGTTGCAATCTGTTTGCCAGTATTTTATTGAAGAGTTTTGCATTGATGTTCATCATGGATATTGGCCTGAAGTTTTCTTTTTTAGTTGCGTCTCTTCCTGGTTTTGGTATCAGGATGATATTGGTCTCATAAAATGAGTTAGGGAGGATTCCCTCCTATTGTATTGTTTGATACCATTTCAGAAGGAATGGAACCAGCTTCTCTTTGTATGTCTGGTAGAATTCAGCTGTGAACCCATCAGGACGTGGACTTTTTTTGTTGGTAGGCTACTGATTGCTGCCTCTACTTCAGCCCTTGTTATTGGTCTATTCAGGGTTTCAACTTCCTCCTGGTTTAGTCTTAGTAGAGTACAAGTGTCTAGGAATTTATCCGTTTCTTCCTGGTTTACTGGTTTATGTGCATAGGGCTGTTTGTAGTAATCTCTGATAGTAGTTTTTATTTCTGTGGGGTCAGTGGTGATATCTGTTTTATCATTTTTTATTGCATCTATTTGATTCTTCTCCCTTTTCTTTTTTATTAATCTGGCTAGCAGTCTGTCTATTTTGTTGATCTTTTCAAAAACCAACTCCTGGATTTATTGATTTTTTGGAGGGTTTTTTTGTGTCTCTATCTCCTTCAGTTCTGCTCTGATCTTAGTTATTTCTTGTCTTCTGCTAGCTTTTGAGTTTTTCTTATCTTGCTCCTCTAGCTCTTTCAATTTTGAAGATAGGGTGTCAATTTTAGATCTTTCTTCTCTTCTCTGGTGGGCATTTAGTGCTATAAATTTCCCTCTCAACACTGCTTTTAAGGTGTCCCAAAGATTCTGGTAAGTTGTATCTTTATTCTGGTTGGTTTCAAAGAACTTCTTTATTTCTGCCTTCATTTCATTGTTTATCCAGTCGACACTCAGAAGCAAGTTGCTCAGTTTCCAAGTGGTTGTGCGGGTTTGAGTGTGTTTCTTGATCCTGAGTTCTAGTCTGATTATGCTGTGGTTTGATAGACTGTTATGATTTCTGTTCTTTTGCATTTGCTGAGGAGTGATTTACTTCCAATGATGTGGTCAATTTTAGAGTAAGTGCAATGTGGTGCTGAGAAAAATGTATATTCTGTGGATTTGGGGTGAAGTGTTCTGTATATGTCTATTAGGTCTGCTTGGTCCAGCTCTTCATTCAAGTCCTGGATATCCTTGTTAATTTTCCATCTCATTGATCTGTCTAATATTGACAGTGGAGCGTTGAAGTATCCCACTATTATTGTGTGGGAGTCTAAATCTTGTTTTAGGTCGTTAAGGACTTGCTTTATGTATCTGGGTGCTCCTGTGTTACAGGCGTATATATTTAGAATACTTAGCTCTTCCTGTTGGGTTGACCCTTTTATCATTATGTAGTGTCCTTCTTTGTCTCTTGATGTTTGTTGATTTGAAGTCCATTTTAGCAGACACTAAGATTGCAACCCCTGCTTTTTTTTGTTCTCCATTTGTTTGGTAAGTCTTCTTCCATCCCTTTATTTTGAGTGTATGTGTGTCTTTGTATGTGAGTTGGATTTCCTGAATACAGCACACCGGGTTTTGACTTTTTATCCAGTTTGCCAGTCTGTGTTTTTTGATTGGGGTGTTTAGTCCATTTATATTCAATGTTAATATTGTTATGTGTGAATTTGATCCTGCCATTTGGCTGGTTTTCTTTTTCATTAGTTGACTTATTTTCTTCATTGCATTTTTGGTCTTTGCCAACTGGTTTGCTTTTGCAGTGACTGGTACTTGTTCCTTTCCATGCTTAGTGTTTCTTTCAGGAGCTCTTGTAGGGCAGGTCTGGTGGTGACAAAATTTCTCAGTAATAGCCTGTTTGTAAGTGAAAGAGAAATAAAATCCTTTACAAAGCTTACTTTAGCTGGATATGAGATGCTGGGCTGAAAGTTCTTTTCTTTAAGGATGTTGAATATAGGCCCCCACTCTCTTTTGGCTTGTAGGGTTTCTGCCGAGAGATCCTCTGTGAGTCTGATTGGCTTCCCTCTGTGGGTGACCCAACCTTTCTCTCTGGCTGCCCTTAGCATTTTTTCCTTCATTTCAGCCCTGGTGAATCTGATGATTATGTGCCTTGGGGTTGCTCTTCTTGAGGAATATCTTTGTGGAGTTCTCTGTATTTCTTGAATTTGAAATTTGGACTGACTTGCTAGGCTTGGGAAGTTATCCTGGATAATATCCTGGAGCATGTTTTCCAGCTTGGATTCATTCTCCCCATCATATTCCGGTACACCGATCAAGCGTAGATAGGTCTTTTCACATAATCCCGTATTTCTTGGAGGTTTTGTTCATTTCTTTTTACTCTTTTTTCTCTTGTCTTGCCTTCTCTTTTTATTTCATTGAGTTGATCTTCAATCTCTGATATCCTTTCTTTTGCTTGATTGATTTGGCTATCAAAACTTGCGTTTGCTTCATGTAGTTCTCATGCTGTGTTTTTCAACTCCGTCAAGTCATTTATGTTCTTCTCTAAGTGGTTATTCTAGTCAGCATTTCGTCTAACCTTTTTTCAAGGTTTTTGGTTTCTTTGCATTGAGTTAGAACGTGTTCCTTTAGCTCAGAAAAGTTTGTTATTATCCACCTTCTGAAGCCTCTTTCTGTCAATTTGTTGCACTCCTTCTTGGTCAAGTTGTGATCCTGTGTTGTTGAGGAGTTGTGATCCCTTGAGGGAGAAGAGGTGTTCTGGTCTTTGATGGTTTCATCTTTTTTGCACTGGTTTTTTTCCTATCTTTGTGGATTTACCTGGCTGTGATGTCAGGGAGCTGCTTGATGAGGTCGCTTGTCTGCCTGTGGAGGTGCTACTGGGTTTCTAGGGACTCCTTCAGGTTACTAGGGAAGCTTCCTGTGTCCTTTTTGTTTGTACTGGGAGATTAGGCCCGCCTCTTCCGCTGACTTTTAGGGCCTGCTGGGTTGTCAAGAATGCCGTCCTGTTGCTATGTAGGCTTCCTGTGTTTTTTGTTAAAACTTGTAGCCCAGTCCCACCCCTCTAGTGGTGGGTTGTGCCCTTCCTCCACTGGGCTGGATCATTCAGAGTTCATCTCAGACTGTGGCACTGGCTGTGCAACCCACTAGCGTCAGAGCTTCAGCCCCCTGGGGTTTGTGGGGGAGGGTAGGGACCCAGCCAGCTGCACTTTTTCAGGTTCTCTCTCTCCGGGTCATGGGGTAGAGTCCTGCCCAGCTGCTCCTGCTTACAGCTCCCTCTCTCTGGGCGGGGGGAGAGGGCGATAGTTCAGTCTGCAGGCTCTCCCAGCCGCCTTTTGGGCTTATGTGTCTGTTTAGATCTGTGTGCCAATCTGGGACACCATCCTGGATTATTATTCAGCTCCACACTTGTAATTCCCGGCACTTGACTGGCAAAGATCCCCTATTCTGTGTATTGCTGAGGTTTTGGAGGAAGCGCTGTATCTGAACCAGAGTGCCAGAGGGGGAGCCTCCAATTCACCGGTCAGATGCACTTCCTGGGTGAAGCAGCACCCCTCCCTGCCTCGGTCTGCCCTGAGTGGGCTTTGCTCACCTTAGGACCAGACCCATTGAAATGCACCTAGTACCTCCATTGGAGCTAGGAGATCTCTGGATTTCTGCATCTCTCTCGCTGGGTGTTGTGCGCTGGAGTTGTATCTATTCAGCCATCTTGGATCCTCCTCACACTCTTGACCTCCTGTGATCCACCCACTTAAACTTCCCAAAGTGCTAGGATTACATGCATGAGCCACTGCACTGAGAAATCATAGCATTTTAAAGCCAGAAGGGATCTTGGCGATTAAATTCACACTTTTTCTTTTAAAAATGAAGAAATGGAAGCCTAAAGAAGTTAAGTGATTTGTTTAAATCCATGAGCTGGAACTAGAACTGTGATCTCCAGAGAGGGTGCTGGGGAAATCAGCTCCCTTGGCCGGGAATTGGTGAAAGCCCTGGCTTGTATCAGTTGCCAATTTCCATGGTCCCAATTCTCCCACCATGGGAGATTTCAAGCTGCCAGCAGTTTAACAGCTCACTCACAAAAGTCCTAAAAAACTAACAATCTACGGAGATCTAAGTGGGCTCCCTCATTAAGTCCCCACCTCACCAAACTCCTTCTGCCTCTTGGCCCCAAGGTAAGTGCTTTCGAAGAATAACTGAATGAATGACGTCTACTCTTTCTGTACTACTCTTACAAAGAAAACACGACAATCTCTCAAAAGTTTTTATAAGCATATATAGCCTAAGAATTTAAGGAATCTTTTCTGCCATGCATTAATTCATATCTGACTTGAATAAATTACATCATTTGATAGGCTGAGCATCCTTTATCTGTGCTTTTGAAGAGGCAAAAAGCAACTTATTCATCTTTTTTGACCTTTCCATCAGCAATGTCTGTTTTAGTCCTTTCTTTGAAGAACATATGTTCTAAATGTTGTAAGAACATTAACAGGTGGATCAAGACCTTAGAGGCCCAAGCTTTTAGCCCAATATTCAAAAGTTCCACATCCCACACCATCCCCACCCATCCCCCTCATTTATACTTTAAAAAATTGAATGAGCTACTTGAGATAGTATTAAACCTAGTCATTAAATCATAGCCATTGGCTTCCAAAAAATGTCTGAAATGTGTGTGGCTGCCAAATAAGAAACTGAGAGATGGAGGAATCTTTCTCATGTTGACTAAATATTTTTGTATAGAGTTCAGAAGTTTCCAGTTAACCGACATCTGACTGCCAAGATTCTTCTCTTCTTTCTCCTATGCCAAAGGAAGTGGTCATCTCACTTTTATTGGATGCATTCTTGCTTTCATAATTGTATCTATATCTTAGCTAATAAGAGTTTCATGCAATATTATTTAAATTTTGAATTTGTTCAGTAACTTACAAATCCATTTTCAGCAACATATGTTGGCAACCCACTAATGAGTGTCCAGTGGTCTGCAGGAGGCGTCCTTGGGGAAGAGAGGAAGGAAAATCATTGCAATATAGAGAAATGCAATGTGTGCAAAAATAAAATGGCAACTGAAGCAGCAACTTCCTGTCAATACTCACGGAATCACTTTGATCTCTTCTTTTCCATGTAAAATGTAATCAATGATTTTATAAAAGTTGACTTCCTAAGAACAAAAGAGGATATTATGGGAATAATGTTATTGAAATCATTTTTCATTGGGGAACTTGTACTTTAAAACTCTTGCAAATAGAACCTTATTTCCCAACCACATTCTATTATAACATAAATGATCAAACGACTTATATCCTGACTACAAACTTACAGTAAAACCAGAACTATTATTGGCTGTTTATCTACAGGCACAAGGCTAAAGTAAATTTTGTTTTTAAACAGTTTAATTGCCTCACACAGTTTTTGGGATGGGGGGAATCTTTAGCTACCAAATCTTCAGAGAGTCTGTTTTTGCTTTCAAGTGATGCCTTTTGTTGTCGAGAAATACCTGACATTAATAACTTCACTAGGACAAATCACATAATTTCTCAACTGCAGTCAGTTGTACATCATATATAGTGAGCCCATAACCTCCTTTGATCAGTGACTTATCTGAACAGGTGCCTCAGAAACAGGAAGTTACATTGCCAAAGGTGAAAGGGACTAGAGAATTATTCTGTCTGTTTCATGGGGAAGATGATGAACCTGAGGCCTAGACACATTCCATCCCCTTGACTTCTCTTTCCTGTATGCTCTGGACACAGGGGTTTCTGCCCTCATGAAGTTTGCAGTCAAGGGGAAAAGTAAACCTAACCCAACCCTTCCTTGGGGATTCTAATCCCACGTATCTGAAGAAGGGCCCAGGTACTTCTTTAAAATATGGTGCAGGTGGCTCTGATGCATTCCTCCTTGTTGAGAACCACTAGTCTACCAAGCCCTGGCTTCATAGAAAAGGAAATGGAGAGGTTTAACAATGAGTTAAGGCAAGGGCCAGTCAGCTCTGGCTTGGGGCAGAGCTGGGACTAGAACCTCAAACTCCTTGTCTAGTGCTGTTTCTACTACTCCAGGCCTTCTCAGGCCAGTGCTCCTTCCTCTATGCACTGTGGCCTCTTAGTTTTAGAGTCTGATACCACACACAGACAGCATCAAGGAAGACATTTGCACATACCCTGCCATCAGGTGTCTTTGGACCTTTATAAGGCTCTACTTCTCCAAGCTTGATTGGCCATTCATCGTAGAATTCCTGGAGGCAATGAGATTTAAATGTCATTAAATACAATGTTCCATGACCTACATTATCTTATATGAATATTATGTGTTTGTATATTTTATGTTAATCTACATAGATCTGGAATTTTAGTGCTGAAAGATCTATAATTCCCAACAATACTGCTTAGGAATTTTTGACTGTGAACAAATCACTCAACCTTTTAAATCTGTAAAATGGGGATAACAGCAGAATTTGTACTAAAGAATTGTTGTGAGGATTAAATAAATAATACATAGCAAACCTCTACCCTGGCACATAGTTCAAAGTACTCAATGTACAGCAATTCTTTCATAGATAATTCAACTAAATCTGGTTTGATTCAGAAGGTTGGCCAAGGTCACACAGAGTGGCCAAGTGTTGGTTGCTTTACCCAGCATCCATTCTCCTTTTTTCCTTGCTGGCATAACCTGATATGATGTGGGTATCAGGTGGTAATTTTCCATCAGACCACAGCCCATGAGTGGTCTACATGAGGTGCCTAGATCAGTTTGAGGGCAGGAATGCGGCCCAGCTCTGGACAATGAGGAAAGTGGATGAGTCTACTGAGGGACTCCTGGGGAAAGGTATTCCTCAGATGAAAGCTGATGAGAGTGACATTTGGAGGAAACGCCTCCCAGTTGTGTCATGACTGTGTGCCACGATTTGAGCTGCAACAGCCGTCTTTCCACCCTAGAGGAGGCCTCACCAACATGCTGCAGGTAGCAAGACCTTGCCAGGAAGGAGAAGGCACCTGGACTTTGATGACTGCACTGATCTCTGAATCAACCAGTACTAGCGCTGCCCTACCTTGTTAAGGGGGGAGACTAAACATCATATTGTTAGAGATGCTTTTAGCTGTGTCTGATGTTTCTTATAGCCAAAAGAATCCTAACCAACATACTCAGCTAGAAAGTCCCAGAACCAAGATCAGAACCCAGCAATCCTAGTGCTTCATCCTATGTTTATCCACTTAGAACAATTACTCTGAAAAAATAACTTCCAATCACATGGATATTAAAAAATATAAATAAGGCAAGGTGCAGTCACTCATGCCTGTAATCCCAGCACTTTGAGAGGCTGAGGCAGGCAGAACACTTGAAGACAGGAGTTCAAGACCAGCCTGGCCTACATGATGAAACCCTGTCTCTACTAAAAATACAAAAAATGAGTGGGCATGTGGTACAGGCCTGTAATCCCAGCTATTGAAGCATGAGAATCGCTTGAACCTGGGAGGCTGAGGTTGCAGTGAGCCAAGATCACGCCACTGCACTGCAGCCTGGTGACAGAGTGAGACTCTGTCCCCGTCACCCAAAAAAAGAAAAGAAAAAATATATAAATAATATGGTATCATTAGTTATTTTGAGCTAGAAGGGTACCAACAGAATTAAAGAGGATGAGACAAGGGCATTATTGTGAATAATACTAAATGTTTCAATAATTCTACTTTAAATTATTTAAAATTTTTTAGACTACAAAACTTCAAGTTGGTAAAGATAATATTGATTATGCACCTACTATGTAAATTCTAGACACCATATATAGTGTTTATAGAAATATCTTACTGTGGTTGCTTCTAATATTTAGTAATTGTGAATAAAGCTACCACCGTAAACATTTTGATATGTATTATTTATTTAATCCTCATAACAATTCTTTAGTACAAATTCTACTGTTATCCCTGTTTTACAGATTTAAAAGGTTAAGTGATTTGTTCACAGTCAAAAAATATATATAAGATGTATATATAAACACTATGTGTATATATATATATATATATAATCTCTAATTCTCACAATCAATAAGAGAGATGTCCTCATTTTACAGATGAAGAAACCAAATATCAGGTAGTTTAAAAGACTTGCTGACAAGAAGAACAAAGTCGAAGAGCTGATACTACCTGACTTTAAGATTTGCCATAAAGCTGCAATAATCAGGACAGTGTGGTATTAATGAAAGAAGGGTCAAATGAATCAATGAAACAAACTAGAGGACCCAGAAATAGACCTTCACAAATATAGTCAACCTTGACAAAGGAGCAAAGGCAATAAACAAAGAATAGTCTTTTCAACAATTTGTGTTGGAACAACTGAATATCTACATGTAAAAAAAAGTGAATCTAGAAACAGAACTTGTACCTTTCACAAAAAATAACTCGAAATGGATTATACACCTAAATGTAAAACAAAAAAGTATAAAAATTCTAGGAGATGACATAGAAAATCTAGGTGAACTTGGGTTTGATGAGACTTCATAGATACAACACCAAAAGCACAATCCATGAAAGAAAAAATATGGAAAAGTTGGACTTCATTAAAATTAAAAACTTCTGTTCTGCAGAAGACACTGTTAAGAGAATGAAAAAATAAGCCACAGACTGGGAGAAAGTATTTGCAAATCACATATTTGGTAAAGAACTTGGATTCATAATATACAAACAACTCTTATAATTGAATGATAAGAAAACGACATATTAAAAAGTGGGCAAAAGATCTGAGCAGATATCTCTCTAAGAAGATATAGAGATGGCAAGTAAACATATGAGAAGATGCTCAACATCATATGTCATTGGGGAACTGCAAATTAAAACAACAATGAGATACCATGTCTAATACCCTAAATACTGACATTAGTGACTGCTAATACCCAAAATACTGACATTAACAGCTGCTGGTGAGAACGTGCAGCTGGTAGACATGCAAAACCATAAAGTCACTTTGGAAGACAGTCTGCCAGTTTCTTACACAGATCAATTAGTCTTACAATATAATCCAGCAATTGCCCTCTTTGGTGTTTACCCAATTGAGTTGAAAACGTATAGACACACATAAACCTGCATACAATGTTTACGGCAGCTTTATTCACAATCAGTAAATATTAGAAGCAACCAAGATACCCTTCAATAGGTGAATGTATAAACAAATGCCACACAATGGAATATTATTCAGTGATAAAAATAAATTAGCTATTGAGTCATGAAAAGACATGGAAGAAACTTAAATGCGTATTTTAAAGTGAAAAGCCAGTCTGAAAAAGCCACATACTTTATGATTCCAACTATATGGCATTCTGGAAACGGCAAAAACTATAGAAACAGTAAAAAAAAAAAAAAAAAATGGTGGCTACCAGGAGTTTGGAAAGGGTGAGGGAAGTTTGAATATGTGAAGCAGAGGACTTCTAGGCACTGGAACTAGTCTGTCTGATACTGTAATAGCAGATATATGACATTACGCATTTGTCAAAACCCAGAGAACTGCACAGAGAATGAACCCTAATGTAAACTATGGACTTTAGTTAATAGTAATATATCGATAATGATTCATCACACCACACTAATCCAAGATGTTAATAACAGGGAAACTGAGAGAAAGAGGAAACTCTGTACTTTCTAATCAATTTTTCTGTAAACCTAATACTACTCTAAAAATAAAGTCTGTTAATTAATGTAAAAAGAAAACCAGACTTGCTGAAGACTCATAGTACTAGGAAGCGGAAAAACCAAGATTCCATCCATCATTTTTGCTCCAAGATACACACTTTTATCTCTGTTCTTGTGATCAATCATGACTAATCATTTACATAGTGTATCTATTTTTTTAAGGATCACACTTCCTGTGGTGTGTGTTTTACAGGTGATATTAGATGAGACAATAAGAACCTTCTCTTTGTTCATGTCCAGCAGTCCAATGGAGTATCTTTCACAGTTCAGGTATGTTCTAACCGTGTAGAGCGCTTTGTGAAACTGTCGCTCAACATCTGTGAGTTCTTCAAATACTTTATTGGCTGACCACATAAGGATCTGAAAGTAGGTATCAAAAACAAAACAGAATAAAGTATGCTATGGAGAGATGCAGCATTTGCCACAAGAAAACACAAGGTGCATCAAATAAAATGAATACATATCACTGGAAAATGCAATTCTGATTTTGAACATGTGTATGGCTGACAAACTGCTCAGATCCTCTAGGTAAGATGATGAGTAGACCTTTGCAAGGCTGTGGATCTATGGGGAGAGAGAAGCCATGATTGGTTCCTGTGTCTAAATGTTTTGGCTCCAAAGGGGAAGTGCCCTGAAATTGGATGCAGAAATGGTCCCTGGGTAGAGAATCCGGTGTTGGTGGCCCACTGGCTCCTGCTGGCCCTCATGTGGAGAGAGTCACATGCCTCCTTCCATGCATCCAGAGCTAGTTGGAGGTAATCTTACCTGGAGAGTTCGAGTGAGAAGGGACCTCCCTCTCAACCTCTACCCCTGCATTGTACTGGTAGAGAAACTGAGGTCCAGAGAGTGGGCCAAGATACTCTGGTATCTTGGCTACCAATATTGCTCTTTCTTCCTCTGTCTCATGGAAGCAGGAATAACATGCTCCTCAAATTAATAGGTTTACTATGACCCAGGAGTTGCTACAAGCTTTATGTGAGAGCTAAAGACAAATAGTCACACATCTGAAGTAGGTACTATAATTGTCATCACCATCTCATAGGCAGAAATGCCAAGGCCACTCAGGATCTAGATGGAAGGAAGCCAAGCCAGTTGTGCACACAGATGGAGAGCTTGGGGTGCAGGGGAGTGTGGGTGGGGAGAGCGGCAGAAAGATCATGAGAGGACACCTGGGACTGAAGTTTGGGGATCTGCTCCACATGGCTTAAACCCCCAGGAGGGATAGGAGGGGTCTGAATTTGTTGTGTCTGGGTGCCTTTGTCAAAATAGGTCAGCATGGAATGATTAATGTTGCCTTCCTTTTACCTGGCTTCTTCGGGACTCAATATTGTACATGTAGGTGGTATGATGAAGCTTTAGGATGACAGACACAAAGTTGAGGTATTTGGAAAAGACCTACAGGCAGCAGAGAAGAACAAGTTATGGTTGTGGCATATTTTCTTAGGTTATACAACAACAAATAAATTTCCTGAGTCTCCAACCGGATGCCCAGGGTTAGCATTACCTCTTCATCCTGTTTGGAAAATTCAGATGCATTTACTTTGTTAAGTGCCACGATCACAGCAAGAACCTCCTTGCCCATCACGATCGGGGTTGCCAGCAGGTTCTTAGTGACATACCCAGTTTGCTTGTCCATGAAGTCAGAAAAATGACTGTTCTGAAAGAAATAGTCACACATTTGCCAAAGTGGCACAGAATCATAGAGTGGTAGATCTAGGGATGATGACAGATCATTCTCTCTCATTTAAATACTACCAGCAGATAACAGGGCTCCAGTACAGTGGTTCCCAACCAACAATCCCACTCCACCTGCCATCCTACGACTGCATAGAATGGAATTTTGCATTTCAGAATAAGTGCTTCCCACCTGAGCTATGGCCTATCTAGGTTAGGCTGAGGTTGGGCCAGAAGAAAAGAGGTGATGAGACAGCCAAGTGGAAAGGGAGGTGGTAAGAGGAAGAGGGGGAAGGCGCAGGCTTAGAATAGACAGCAAGTGTGTACCGGGAAGGAGAGCACAGCTGGAATTCACAGTTCCTAGAGCGCTTCTCTCTCATCACAAAGGAAAAACATGCACTTGAAACCATCAACCCATATGTCCTAACATAAAGCCAAAGTTCTCAATCCCCCCAGTTCCTTCAATTTAGCCTACTTGAGGAAATCTGTGCTAACTGCTCGTGTGTCTCCTTCTATGCCTTTCTCTGTGCTTGAACAAAGAGTTTTCCTGTCTATTTTTTCTAAGATTTCCTTTTCTAATTGCTTATAACAGTTTCATCACTTAACGATGTCTTATGGATTTCCTTGAAGACCAATGCATATAGATGTGAACTTACCTCTTAGATTCGTGCACACTATTCCACCCTGCATGCTCTACAATCCACTCAATGGTCCTCTACTGATTCTGCCTGTTTATAGTTTTCCCCACTACTAACAATACTGCACTAATCCTTCTTGCATTTATTTTTATGTGACAGATTCCCCAAAAAGGAAATCCCTTTTGCTGGATCAACAGGAACATGCACTTTTTTATTACATGTATTACTTTGATGGAAGGTTCACATTCTGAGGCTGAGCGCCATGGTTCATGCCTATAATCCCAGCACTTTGGGAGGCCGAGGCAGGCGGATTCCCTGAGGTCAGCAGTTTGAGATCATCCTGGCCAGCTTGATAAAACCCTGTCTCTACTAAAAATATAAAAATTAGCCAAGTATGGTGGCACACGCCTGTAGTCTCAGCTACTCAGGAGGATGAGGCAGGAGAGTCGCTTGAACCCGGGAGGTGGAGGTTGCCATAAGCCGAGATCATGCCATTATACTCTAGCCTGGGCAACAAGAACGAAACTCTGTTTCAAAAAAACAAAGAAAGAAAAAAAAAGGTTCACATTCTTACTTCCACTGACCCTGTGTGAGAGGACTAAGGACTACCCTCGTGCCAGCATCCGACGCTTATCAGGTTTTAAATGTTCTACCAAGCTTATGTCTTTCATTCCTATTCTTTATTTCTTTCTTTGGGAGAGAGGAAAGTGGATCTTCCCAGATTCAGGCCTCATAGAGTAGATTTGAGAGATGACTTTAATCCACTGGCCGCAGCAGAGGCTGACCAATGAGTCTAGAGAAGCGCACAAACGGAAGGGCTTGAGAAAGAGGTCGAGGAAGGCAATGATCTTATTAGCTATCATTTCAGAGAATAGCCGCTCAAGGTGGGTTTAGATCCAGCCTTCCTTGGATCATGACATTCTTCCCTTTGAACCTAGGACTTCTTCAGTTAGAACTGAACCTTCAGCCTTAACTCTGAGACTCGTTGGCCAAAATTAGTATGGTGTTCCTTCCACAGTTGTATTCTTTTCATTTCCCTGTGTTGGCAGTGCTTCTAAAAGCAGCACGAACCTTGGAGACTGGATTCTGTCTGGGTTCCCGAAGTAAAAAATGTGAGAATTTTCTGTGTGTCATTTCCAGGCCAGAGTTTCCACCAGGGAACAAGGGCTGGTTGACCAATAGAACTCACAGAGCTCAAATGAGATTAGCAGTCCTGAGACATGCCTCAGAATCACCAGCAGATTAATGGAGCAGATGCACTGAATCCTAATCGGCTCCAGTGGAACCTGTACTTTTAAGTGGCACAGGTCATTCTTAGGCTCAACCCAATGGGGAATCACTCCTGCAGAGGATCACCAGAAATGGTACCACTCTCAGAGGAAATGTGGGAGGTAAAGGGGATGAATGCAGCCACTCACCCAGACCTCTTCCATACCTTTCTCAAAGTGGAAACACACAAACCAACTATTTATTTAGGCATCAGCATTGCATAAAGGCAAGGAATGTTTTGGAGTCACACTTTCTTGACTGAAACTGGGCCCCAATGTACTAGCTGTATGGTTCCAGGCAAGATACTTATCCTCTGTGTCCTAGTCTTCTAATCTGAAAATAGGGATAATGCTTCCATCTACTGCCTAGAATCCCTGATGTGGAGAAAGAATAAATAGTACAGGCAGAGCACTTAGAAAAGTGTCTGACACATAGTAGATATTCAGTAAGTACTGGGAAGAGAAAGTGCTTTTCTAGGCTTTCCTGAATGAAAAGTAGTTGTTTTGCAATTACCATTTTGCTTCTAGTTTTAGTTTTTCTAGACAATTCAAATCACTGAAGAAATCAGATGCCCATAGCTGGATGTAGGCCTGCCATACTGGGGAGCAGCCTTTCTTCTGAGGGCCAGCACACTGCCACATGCCACCAACAATCACATTTCTTTCCTATCCACTTTATCTGTTACTTCTGTTTCCCCATAGCATCTTCACCCTCAGACCAAAGTGTCTGCAAGCTTTGTTAGATTCTTTCTCTTAATCCACTGCTTATCTAGACCAGCTCCCATTGTTTCCTTCTACCCTGTTATCCATGCAGATCACGTCATCTTTATTTACAGAGCCTGGGCACTAAAGGAATAATCGAAATACCAGAAACATGCACCATGGGATGAAGTTAAGAAGGACTTTTTTTGTTTGTTTGTTTGAGATGGAGTTTCGCTCTTGTTGTCCAGGCTAGAGTGCAATGGTGCTATCTCGGCTTACTGCACCCTCCGCCTTCTGGGTTCAAGGGATTCTCCTGCCTCAGCCTCACAAGTAGCTGGAATTACAGGCGCCTGCCACCACACCTGGCTAATTTTTTTATTTTTAGTAGAGATGGGATTTCGCCATGTTGGCCAGGCTGGTCTCAAACTCCTGACATCAGGTGATCCGCCCGCCTCAACCTCCCAAGGTGCTGGGATTACAGGCGTGAGCCACCGTGCCCGGCCAGCAGCACTTCTTTGCAAACACATTTCAATCTGCAGCTTCCAACCTAACGCCATTTTATTCCAGATTCTAGACACAAGGAAATGTTCTTAAGTTCACTGGACTATTTTGAGAAAATGGCTTGTATGTTTCAAAATTTAATATTTGCTTATTATTACATCTGAAAGCCCTAGATAAACCAGCCATCAAGTTACAGGACAGGGGAAGGGACGGGTTTCTGTGTTTTCTTTTCACTAGCTCAAAAAATCATTAGTGAAGTTTCTTTGTGTAAATCCTATGTGTGTCCCTTGGTGGTTCTTCAGAGAAGCCCTTGAAGGCAGCTGGAGAACGTTGTTTAGAGCAACAGGAGGCCTGATCCCTCATCAGATGTCAGTATTGCTAACTCCTGATTAAACACCCTTAACCCTTGAGATCCAAGGCAGAAGTAGAAGAGGGAAGGAAGAGAGAGGAAGGGGGACTTGTTTTTTTTTTTTTTGAGATGGAGTTTCCCTCTTGTTGCCCAGGCTGGAGTGCAATGGCACAATCTCTGCCTCCCGAGTTCAAGTGATTCTCCTGCCTCAGGCTCCCGAGTAGCTAGGATTACAGGCATGTGCCACCATGCCAGGCTAATTATATATTTTTTAGTAGAGACAGGGTTTCTCCATGTTGGTCAGGCTGGTCTCAAACTCCTGACCTCAGGTGATCCGCCGCCTCAGCCTCCCAAAGTGCTGGGATTACAGGCATGAGCCACCGTGCCCAGCTGGAAGGAGGACTTTTTTTTTTTTTTTGAGCTGGAGTCTCATCCCTGTTGCCCAGGCTGGGGTGCAATGGCATGATCTCAGCTCACCGCAGTATCCACCAGGAAGGAGGACTTTTAAATCATAGTCAGAATCAGGATCACCCAGAGTTCATGGACAGCTTTCCCAAAAGAGAAAGAAACAACTTTGAGGCTATCTCTCAGTTTCCTGTTGTTAAAAGTCTTCCTGCCTGAAACTTGTTTCAAATCGGGCAATAATTATTGCCTCTCTTTTGGCCAACCACGACCAGCTCCTAAACCCCGACTGGAACAATGACAGTATTACCACAGCTCTCATTTACTGAGCATCTACTATGAGCCAGGTCCTTCATATACATTTAATCTATACATTTGCTTATCTCCATTTCTTAGGGGTAGAAACTCCATCACACACTTACTAAGTCACAGACATGGATCTGCACCCAGATCTGTCTATGCCAAAGGCCTCTCCTTATACCAAGTGGCTTCCCTGTTACTTTCATGGGCCCTCCAAGGTTGGGAGTATGTACCTTTGTCCAGGTGTGAGAACGTGTGAGAAGTCTTTCCCTCACCTGCTCCCACACTGCTAAGCAGAGAAAAGTTGTATGTGGTCAGGGGTGTGGTAGAAAGAGGGAGGCCTCCAGTGGGTCCACCCACCTCAGCCTCCCAAAGTGCTGAGATTACAGGTGTGAGCCACCGCACTTGGCCAGCAGCACTCCTTTGCAAACACATTTCATTCACTCTGTGGCTTCAAACTTAATGCCATTTTATTCCAGATTCTAAACACAACGAAATGTTCTTAAGTTCATTGGACTGTTTACCCAAGGTTTACCCATCCCTTCTTTAAAAGCCTTTCAAACAAATTTCTGAATTAACCTGAGTTATTGCCCCAGCCCTGCCACATCCTGCCCATTGGACTTTAAATGACTCCTGTGACATAGACTGGAAATTTAAAATGCAATCCTTATCAGAGAATGTTTTCTAAATTTCCAAGTGCAATGAAAAGAGGAAGAATTAATCAGATATTTCATTTAAAACATTGGTTTCTACTTCCTTTCCCTTTGCAAATCTTACTGCAGCAGCTAAAGCATGGTGAAACTGCTGGGGTGTAAGGTAGCCAGACAGAGTGTTGGACACGTACTCAGCTACCTCCATTCCAACCCTTCTCATCCACAGGCACGTACCATGACCCAGAGGAGATACAATGCCTGTGGCCTCAACTTCCTGTCCGCCATATGACAGAGTCAGGCTAAAGACTTGATAAGCCCCTTCCATCTCTAATATTCCACAGTTGATTTGAAATTCACTTCCTCCTCCTGTATCTGCTCACCCAATAGACCAGTGGTTTTCAACATTGGGTGCATATGAGAAGTACCTGGGGGAGCTTTTTAAAAATACTAATGCTGGGGCCAGGCATGATGGCTCACGCCTGTAATCCCAGCACTTTGGGAGGCCGAGGTAGGTGGATCACCTGAGATCAGAAGTTTGGTATCAGCCTAGCCAACATGGTGGCACCTTGTTTCTACTAAAACTACAAAAATTAGCCAGGCATGGTGGCACATACCTGTAGTCCCAGCTCCTCAGAAGGCTGAGGCGGGAGAATTGCTTGAACCCGGGAGGCAGAGGTTGCAGTGAGCCAAGATTGCACCATTGCACTCCAGCCTGGGTGATGGAGTGAGACTCTATCTCAAAACTAAATAAATAAATAATAAAATAAAAGTAAAAATACTAATGCCTGAATTCTAACCTTTAAGAGTCCGCTGTAACAATAAAGCCACAAATACGGTTTCATGGATTGTGTTTGGGTTTTTTTTGTTTTTGAAAAAGAGTTTCATTCTGTCATCCAGGCTGGAGTGCAGTATGTGAACTTAGCTCACTGCAGCCTCAGCCTCCCAGGCTCAAGCCATCCTCCCACCTCAGCTTTCTAAGTAGCTGGAACTTCAGGCACACACCACCATGACTGGCCAATTTTTGTATTTTTGGTAGAGATGGGGGTTCCCTATGTTGATTAGGCTGGCCTCTTAACTCCTGGGCTTAAGCCATCCACGCGCTTTGGTCTCCTAAAGTGCTGGGATTACAGGCGTGAGCCACTGCACCCAGCTTAAAATGGTTTTAATGTGCAGCCAGAATTGAAAATCCCCACTCTAGAGGGAAAAAACGTAAAGAAGCAGTTGAAATGAAGAGTCAATGAGGCCTCTGTCTTTCCTGTGAGCACAGAACTGTATCTGTCTTCAACACACATTTCTGAGTCCCACCCAGAAGAGCGAGGAGCCGTCCAGAGAAGAGAGGAGAGACTCCCCACTCCCAGATAAAGGGCTCCATCCATGCTCTGATGCCCACCATGGACAGCCACAGACCAAAACCACCTCCAAGCAGCTCCATGCTATCATTTCCTCCTCACCACGGAGAACTGGGCTCATTAGAGCATAACAGCAGAAATCACTTTACCCATCTCTTCTTTAAAAGCCTTTCAAAAAGATTCCTGAATGTCACTTTTTAAAGTTTGTTGTCCTAGTGGAAATGGGCTCATCTGGAGACCTTCAAGGAGCATATTCCCATGAGAAAACCTTAGGATGTGCAGACATTGCCTTCCGGCTGGTTGTCTAAAGAACTTTGCCCTAAGGACAAGCATCTGTTTAGTCACCTGAAGCAGCCACAGTCAGCTTCAAAAGCAAACTCAACCCAGCTCAAACTCACTGAAGGGAGGAATTATTCAGGACTGAAGGCTCTACCTGGCCCCATGGTAATCCTTGCACCTGAGCGGTGTCCTGTGGCTGTTTGCAGGGAGTTGCCCATGTTTGACGACTTCCATACCTCTTGGGTCCGTGTGACCCTCTCCCTATAATCAGCTTCAGGAGGCATTTAGGGGATTATCCTCCTGCCTCTCCAGCTGCCCTATTCACCCCTACACAGGAAGCACTTCACAGGCTGTTCCCATTCAACTCTGTTCCATCATAATCCACTTCTCCTTTTTTGTTAATGGTAAACTGTAATAATGGAGCACATGTGTAGAAAAGGAGCTGCCAGGAGAATCTCTAAATTGGTACCTTTGATTATTGCTGAGGGGAGGGATGATGGGTGATTAGCATTTCCTCCTTTTGTTTATTTGTATCTTATAGTTTTTAAAAAATGAACATGTACTGTAATGGTAAAAAGAAAGTTGTTCTGTATCTATAAGGGACATCTCAGTGCCTTGTGTTTGTGCAGTATGCTGTTGATCCTCAAGAGGGTACAAATGTCCCACTTACATGATTGGAATTCATTCTTGAAAGGTCTGGGCTATGAAGCAGTGGGAGTGGTCAATTGCACTTAACTCTCACCTAAATTCACATATGTAATGAATTCCGAATTCGAACCTCTGAATGTCCAAATGGCATCATTTTTTCTTTTGTACTATTGGTCCTTAGATGAAAGAATTGGTTTACAAGCAAATCCATCCAAAAAACCTGAATGTTTTCAAAGGACTGTGAATGAGGGGCACGGGGCACAGTTCACAAGTCTTGCCATCTGGGCACATTGGCCCATTTCCCTGGTGGGGCGGTTTGTTTTGCTGGTGTTGCTGAGAAGGAAAGTTCCCCCAGAGCATGGAGGAGGCATAAGGGAGGGGTGTGGAGTGCGCCAGGTCCAGGTAGGATGGCCTGATAAAATGCCAAACATTACATGGGACATACTTACACTTCAGAAAACAATAATTCATTGTTCATCTAAAATTCAAGTTCAACTGGGCAACTTGAAATTTCATTTGCTACATTTGGTAACGCTAGGCTGGGGTGATCCTCTTCCCTGCCACCCACATTCCCCCGGTTATTGCCAAACTAATGCCACAAGGACAGCACCATCTCTCTTTCCCACTGGTCCCTCCCTGACCCCACCAAGACCTCTGTCCCACTATTATTAGGCCACCTACCTTTTTCACATCTGGGACATTATGCGTTTTCTTCGTGTGAGCAGCCCAACCCACTATCCCTATGTCCAATGGAAACACAACTTCTTTTTCAGGGCCCACCAGGTTGTCCTCAAACTTGGAGGTGGGGGTGACATCCAGCAGCCTGGAAGCCACCTCAGGTGTGCCGTTCCGGGCCCGGCACAGGAACATGCTGCAGCGGTCAGCCTGGAGCAGGTGGGCCAGTCTCTGCAGGGCCCTGTGAACCCCCTGCTCCGGGGTGCCCCCCTCTTCCTGCACGGTCCACAGCAGCTCCAAGCACAGGGCCGACTCCTCCACCTGGGTCAGCTCCGGAAAGGACATGCTGGACTGGACTGGCACCTGGCTGTTCTTGAAGATTTCTCCCAGCACCTCCACCCGCAGCTTCTTGTCAAAGTACTCCTTGGCAAACTGAGGGTTCTCCTCCAGGTATTTCTCCACGGCATCTTGGTTGATGTCACCCATGGTGCTGCTGCTGTTGTTCAGAAAGGATAACTTTCAGGGCACTACCTGAGGCGGAGTGATGAGAAGGAAATACATCCTGGTAGAAATTACTGAGGAAACCGTCAATGGTCCCTCATAGGACTTTCAAAGGTCAAGCAGAAAGCAGAGCTTTCAAACTGCCTGTAACTCTTGGGATGTGACAGAAGGCCCTGGCTTAGGGTGGGTTCATGAAGCAGAGGATTAAAGAGTTCTTCAGGACACTAAATCCCTGAGCATTAGTAGCTCAGAAGTCCCCAGCGAATCCTGAGAGCACCTTAAATCAGCCAGCAAGTAGCAAGCTTCGGTGTCCATTCCAGAAAAATAACTGAATGCTGGCTGCTATCCACGGCAAGGAAGATGGGACATTCACTGACATATCCGTGAATGACGTGACGTCGGCAACCATTGGCACTTTGAATTGTACTTCCACGATAGTCATAGGAGGTGAAACTATTTAGACCTCGGAAGTGCTTGTATTTTTTTGTTTCTATAGTAATTTTAATGAACATTTGGGGGATATGGAACAGTTTAGCATCACCACAACATAAAGGTGAATTTTAATCTTTTATTTTCTTAAAAGTCTTTTGATGACCAAGGTTGCTTGGCCTCCTGTTTTTCTAAAACCCTCACCTCTCAATCCCCCTCACTTTAGAAAGCTTGACCTCAGAAGTGTTTTAAAGGAATATTACCTCAAGCTTATTACTAGAGAGGTGAACATAGCAAAACATTTGCCAATGATCCAAGCCGAATCAAGCCACTAACTGAATAATAGCCCTTGTCAAAAGACCGGAATTACAAAAGGTAATCTACATAGTTACTAGCTGGGTTTCTCTGCTAAGTATATTAATTAGGATTTCGTTTTCAATAGTAATAGCCAGACTTCATGCGATTTTGCTCCAACATAGAGTCTGCTAAATCTACTAGATGACAGATATCTTGTCTGTTGCTAGGATCCTTAATGTCTCAGGGGCTACTGGCGCAGAAAGAACAATTAACACTACTTGGTTTTGTTTAATGTTCACTTTACTAAGCTTTTACATCTATTAAACACATTTCCCCAAATATTTAAACACTATTACGCAACTAATAATTCACACTATTATTTCATGAACCAATTGCCTTTGATATTTAAATGTTGGTTTCAAGCTTAGTCAAGGTGTTTTAAACACGTCAATAAAGCCACAAACTTAATATGACAAATTCTCTTAAGTGGAAAACACACACAAATATTATAGTGACTCTAAAAATGATTGTTACAGCCACATTTAAGTTTGCTTCAAAAATAGCAACACTTTGAGTTTCATTTAATTCTCTAAATGTAAAGCTTTACCTCTTTAGAGACAGTAATCTTATTAGTCACAAAAGAAAAAGACATCTGTTGAGGTTGCATGTTCCCTGTCATGAATTGAGAGAGTCTTGGTGGGAAACATGGTTTTCTCAGGGGAACAGAACGCAGTCATTTGTTGAGTTATGCCACTTCTTGTGGCTGAGCTTCACCTGCTGCCTCAAAGCACCTTGTCAGGTGCACACATTTTCTTGGACTTTCCTATGTCACAATTGACCCTAGTCTCAGGAGGTTTCTTGTTGGATGACTATTTACTTCATAACATCCTATTAATATAATTAGGATAATGCAGAGGTATATTTCCCAGGAGAGAGTTGAATCTACTGAGTCACCTCTCCTATGGGTCCATCCTCCTCTTCTTACAGTTTTGAGATGAGGATAACTCTTTTCTACCAGGTTATTTCGTGTGACTAATGGTACAGTTCCTACTTCTCCCAAAAGTATGTGATATGCTCACGATTCCCTGGTTTCATCCTTTCCTCTTGAAACAGAGAGGAAAAAACACATATTTGCATTCCATGTACAGACTTACACTTAATAGAAAAAACAAAATGCCCATATATGTTCATCTTTTATAATCTTATAAAAATGAATATTAATTTGGAAAGAAATATTCTATTATAGTCAGCATTCTTTTGTTTTTATAACTAATTAGAGATTCATTCATTTGTTCATTCTTCCTTTTTTTTTTTTTTTTTTTAGACAGAGTCTCACTCTGTTGCCCAGGCATGATCTCAGCTCACTGCAACTTCCACCTCCTGGGTTCAAGCGAGTCTCTTGCCTCAGCCTCCTGAGTAGCTGGGATTACAGGTGAGTGCCACCATGCCTAGCTAATTTTTCTGTATTTTTAGTAGAAATGGGGTTTCGCCTTGTTTGCCAGGGTGGTCTTGAACTCCTTAGATGATCTGCCTGCTTTGGCCTCCCAAAATGCTGGGATTACAGGTGTGAGCCACCATGCCTGGCCTCGTTTGTTCATTCAACATTTATCTATTGATTGTCTGTTATAAGCAATGCATTCTAGGTATTGTAATAGAGACTTCAAGTTCCCCTTATAGTATATGATTCTTTCCTTCTCCCAGTTATATAAGAAGATTACTCCTCCTCCCTCTGGTAGAGCCACATGACTGATTTTAGCCAATGGGTTGTGGGCAGAAATATCACTTTCAGACAGGAGCAATCAATTGCCAATATGAGGCTCTCTAGCTCTAGGTTCTCTCTGCTGACACATCAGTTTCAGATGAAGGGGCTCCTGAATCCCAGAGTGAGGATGTCACATAATAGAGGCCCCTGCTGACCCTAGATGGACCTGTAGCATGATGAGAAATAAACCTGTCTTGTTTTCATCCTCGGAGACACGAGAGTTGTTGTCACTGCAGCATTTCCAAGACAATTCTGACAGTTATGCTTCTACTGCAGGGGACTCTGGGGGTGGTCCCAGCCTTACAAGCACTAGTGGTGTGGGAAGGGAAATAAGACTAGTGCATAAAAAGTCATGAGACATAGAACAGAATACGATTAATGCTGGAAGTGAGGTACATGCACATGGCTATGGTATTTCATGAAAGGGATCATATCAAGCAGGCACGGTGTTGCATGCCTGTAATCCCAGCACTTTGGGAGGCTGAGGCAGGTGGATCACAAGATCAAGATATTAAGACCATCCTGGCCAACATGGTGAAACCCCGTCTCTACTAAAAATACAAAAATTAGCTGGGCATGGTGACGTGCACCTGTAGTCCCAGCTACTGGGGAGGCTGAGGCAGGAGAATCGCTTGAACCTGGGAGGAAGAGGTTGCAGTGAGCCAAGATCACACCACTACACTCCAGCCTGATGACAAAATGAGACTCTGTCTCAAAAAAAAGGGGGGGGAATCATATCTAGTGTGATTGGAAACAGGGTAGAAATGAGCATGTTCCAGGTGGTGGGAACAGCAGAAGCAATAGCATGGGCTGTAGGGTAACATGGGGTACAGTGAGAGGTGACCCTGGGAAGTGGGGGTTGGCCCAGATTACAGGGGCCTCAAAGGCTAGACTGAGGATTTTTAATCCTGAGAACTGTTTGAAGTGGGAGGCAACATTATTAGTGTTCCTCTTTACAAACTTGGTGAAAATGATAACTTCCAGGAAAAAAAAAACTGTACATTGGGATACAGATTAAGATACTTTATTGCATTTGGCTCATTATCAAACAACTTAAATATGTATATAGGCGTTGATCCTATAATTCTGCTTGTACCAATTCATCTTAGATAAATAATTAAGAACGTATGTGATTAAAGTAGTTTCAAGTGTGTTTATCATGAGCATGGGTATAAAAGTAAAAGATTAGAAATAGTCTGGACACTCAGTAGTAGGAGGTTGAGTAAATAAATGGTATTAGACTTCTAAAATAGAAAGCTACACAGCTATTAGGTTGGTGCAAAAGTAATTGTGATTTCTCCCATTTTAATGGCAAAAACCACGATTGCTTTTGCACCAATCTGATAATGGTAAAGCCTATTATCATGTTAAAGACATGAACAAATATTTATGATATGCAACTAATTACAGTGTTGTAGCATAATTCTCTTAATACACAGAGACAGAGGTATATACATCAAAATATTAATTGAAATTATTTCAAGGCAGGACATGGTGGCTCACACCTGTAATCCCAGCACTTTGGAAGGCTGAGACAGGTGGATCATCTGAGGTCAGGAGTTCGAGACCAGCCTGACCAACATGGAGAAACCTCATCTCTACTAAAAAATACAAAATTAGCCAGGCATGGTGATGCATGCCTGCAGTCCCAGCTACTAAGGAGACTGAGGCAGGAGAATCACTTGAACCCAGGAGGGGGAGGTTGTAGTGAGCCAAGATCACACCATTGCACTCTAGCCTGGGCAAGAAGAGTGCAACTCCATCCAAAAAAAAAAAAAAGAAAGAAAGAAAGAAAAAAAGTGACAAATGTGAGACACAATCCAGCAAATGTGTCACAACAATTGACAGGGCTAGGCAATTGATTAGTTAGAAAAAGAAAGCAAGGCAAGAAGGGGTCACTGTTAACTACTTGGAGTGTTGGGGGAAGTTATGGACTAAATATTTGTGTTCTCCTAAAACTCATCTGTTGAAATCCTAACCTCCAATCTGATGGTATTAGGCAGTATGTCCTTCAGGATGTGACTAGGTCATGAAGATGGAACCCCTACAAGTGGTATTAGTGCCCTTATTAAAGGGAGCCCAGAGAGCTCTCTAGCCCTCTTTCTTCCATGTAAGGATACAATGAGAAGATGGCTGTCTGTGACCTGGAAAAGGAAAATGGCCATCACTGAACCTGATCATGCTGGCACCCTGATCTCAGACCTTCAGCCTCCAGAACTTTGAGAAGTGAATTTCTATTGTCTATCAGCTACTGTGTCTATAACACTTGTTAGCGCCACCTGAACTAAGACAAATGACATTGTATCAAAGATTTTTAAATGGGTAATATTAGAACCCTCCTTTTAGGCTTTTCTTTCTTTCCTGTCCTGGACAAAGCCCTGTGATTTCCATGACTCTTCCTCTCGGGGTAGTTCTTTGCAGAGCTTCTGGCCAGTGTTAGCAAGATCTTTGTGTCTCTTATTGACTGTCTGCCACTAGGCACTGAAAAAAACAAAATCAATTTCAGAAAATGACATGTTTTATTTTTTAAAAATTTCTGATTCAGGGGTACATGTGGGTTTGTTATATGGATCTATTGTGTGATGCTGAGGTTTGGGCTTCAGTTGAACCCATCACCCAGATAAGGAGTGCAGTACTCGAGAGGTAGTTTTTCAACCCCTTCCCTTGTTCTTTTGGAGGTCTCAGTGTCTATTGTTTCCATCATTGTGTCCATGTATACTGAATGTTTAGCTCTCACTTATAAGGAAGAACGTGTAGTATTTGGTTTTCTGTTCCTGCATCAATTCACTTAGGATAATGGCCTCCAGCCGCATCCATGTTGCTGTGTAGGACATGATTTTGTTCTTTGTATGGCTGCATAGTATTCCATGGTGCATATGTGCCACGTTTTCTTTACCCACCTCACCTCTGATGGGCACCTGGGTTGATTCCATGTCTTTGCTATTGTGAATAGTTCTGTGATAAACCTGTGAGTAC